GAGCTCTATGTCTCTGATAAATAACTCTCTTACGAAACGTAGTTCTTCCGGTTTTTCGAGTTGTGTTTCAATTTTGTCCAGTTTTTTTTCGGAGCTTTCAATTCGGGCCTCGAGCTTTTGGTTGATTTCATCCACTTTTCGGTCAGTTTTTCTCAATTGCTCGAATAATTCGTCGAATTTAGGGTCCATAGGTGATGGGCTAGCTCTTAATTTGCGGTATGGAGGTAGAATTTTGGAGACCATGCTAGTTACATCCTAATTTGTAATTCTCACCACAATTTGGCAATAATTAAGCAAAATTTTACAGCGTTTAGGAAAAAATCAATATTTATACCCCCCACATGACAAAAGTAGGGGGTACATAGAAAATAATTAATAACTTTACAAAAACATTATGAATAACCACATTTTTTTCAGAATATGTGCACATATATGTCATTAATAACTGGTAAAAAATTGGTGACTATAGGTATGATGGTTGCTATGGAAACAGAATGTGATTGTCAAAATTTGCTAATTTGTGTCTATTTTGGGGGCTCGTTAACGAAAAAATGCTATGTAGGCAAGATATGCTGCAAAAATACCATTGATTTAAGGTTTAGAAAATTGCATATATATGTCCTGCATGCATTAAAATTGGAATGATGATTGAGTCTCAATCAGAAATATTTTTAAAATTTTTTTCTATGACCCACCCCTTCTAAATAATCCAAAGTGGGCTTGGCATTTAAGTGAATGATCAAGCCTACTTAACAGTAGATAACTTCAATTGTATAGCCTGTATTATCACAATTTCAACAGAATGTAGGATTCTGGTATCAGTTAACAGTTTATATGATTTTGTTCATCCCCCTCAATATTTATAACCCCTCCTTCGTCACCACCACCCCTCCCGCGTGACAAAAGTAGGGGGTACCTTGAAAATGATTAATAACTTTACAACAATGCAGCGAATAACCATCAATTTTTCAGACAGGATAAATGTATATGTCATCAGTAATTGAAAAAATTCTTGGTAATTATAGGTATGATAGTTTCTAAACAGGATTTGATCGTCACAACTTGTGAAGATATTGGGAGGGGGGGGGGCTGGTTCACAAAGAATACTATGCTAGCAAATTCTGCTGCAAAATTAGCATAGTTTTAAGGTTTAGAAAACTGCATATGTATGTCCTGCATGCATTAAAATGAAATGATGATTGGGTTTCAATTAGATTTTTTAGATTTCACTATGACCCATCCTTCTTTATAATCCAAAGTGAGCGTGACATTTAACTGTATGATCAAACCTACTTAATAGTTCAACATTTCTATACAATGTAGGCATCAGTTAACTTTTTATCATTTTGTTCATCCCCAAATATTTATGCCACTCCCCTCGTCTTAACATACTAAAAATTACACATGTATATGTCATAAGTAACTGGAAAAAGATTATGGTGATTATAGGTTTGATGGTTGCTATGGAAAAAGGATTCGATTGTCAAACAAAGGACCGCATGTTGTTTGTAGAATGAATCGGGTTAAAAACATCAATACACTTTAAACCATTTTATTGACTATAAAACTGCACCATATTATCCCCAAAAGATATTTCTCTTTTCAAGGATTATCTATGGATTAACACCCAGGTTTTTTATTTTTCAAACTTCAGAGGGCTAGGAATCATTGATTATGATCATATATATGCTGTTTTAAAATAGGTTTAATGTATGCCAATAATTTCTCAAATCGTGTAAATGGTACCCATTCCTTATTACCTACAATTTTCTCTGAGGAATTCCCATAGCAATCCTTTGGTATAGTTCCAAGCAGATTTTGAGATAACAGGAAAGTTAATCATTAATACACACCTCATTGGGTTGTGATATAAACCAAAATAATACATCTCTTCATCACTTCTGATCATCAGAACCATGCCTGCTACCATATAATGTATCTTCTGACATTGCTTAGTGTAGATACAATATTTCCTGGTGTCAAATCTTAGCAAGATGATGGGGGGATGTACCATAAAAGGACGTCACGGGGTAGGTACAATGCTGTCAAAATCAAAACCTCAACAATACAACCAACAATCAACAGGCACGCAAAGTTCCTTATTGGTATTAAAAAGATTCAGTCACAAACATTTTGTTTATGATGATCAATGATGAAGATAACAGTTAACGTCCATTTGACAGCTTCACAGGCAACAGTACCGTAAAATTACATACAGTTGTGTATCTCCAACAGTATGTTATGGTACTGTTTGGGCTATGGTACTGTATGGTATGGTAATATATGGTACCAGACTAAAATAGTATTGTACAATACCATGGACACTGTACACCACCATAATAGAATGGCACTGTATGGTACTATTAATGTACCATGAGTGCAGATTGGTGGTGTTTATCAAGCCATTTGATATCACAGAATCAAGACTCCTATGCATATCATCAGGACTTCCAGCACTTACTCAATTCAAAAAATCCACCCAGTGTTAGGAGCTATTGCTTCTTAAGAATTTGTTAAATGCCCGTATTAGGATCAATACTAAATCATTTGATGCGCCCAAATCAAGATGAAGAAACACCATTCAGTTTGTAATAAAAACTCATGGAGAGCCATGGAATCATGGAAAGTCCATGAGGACAGATTCTATGGTGCTTAGCAAAAAGCAAATTGCAGTTATCCAGGGAGAAGGGTGTGTCACAACTTACAAAACAGTGAAAGTGTTTGTGGCAACATGTCCTTTTACCAAGTAGCCAAATTTCCAAACACATTTCGTCAACTGGCTGATGTTCCATTCTCTGGTGTTTCAAAGTACAGTGATATATCAATCATGTTCTGATATGTAACTCAGTATTGGACAGTCTTTCCAAACTTTCCATTCTTCATGTCATTCTTAAATGTTTGGTACTTTGTGATAACTCATTGTTTTCAATATCAACTAAGGCTTTAGTTGAAGTAGCAGTAATATAAGTTATTGAATGATTTGAAATGCAATACAGTATATATTCTGCTCGAGAAATTCTGTGTTGGAAAGAGACAAAGTCGAGTGCCAATACATAATATTGAGAGCAGAATATATCCTGTATTGCACCTCAAATCATTCTATAACGTTTTTATCGTGTGGTCTTAGGCCAATACATTTTACTCAGAAGGTAATTCCTATGAAATATTCTGTATTGCTACTGAGATTGTCCCCTCCGTCCCAATATTTTCTGTATTGCTAAGGAGATGATCAATAAGGACAATCTCAGTAGCAATACAGATTGGTACAGAACAAGAACTGACCAATCAGAGGGCTTCATTTTACAGATCATACGATAAGTAAGCTGAATACTCTCCAGATTCATGGAATTTTGAAATCAACAAGGATTCCAATTCCTCATTCCTGACTTTATGAACTCTGAAGGCCTTGTTGAATTGAAGTGTTTTCCACTACCATCAATTGAACTGCAAATATCTAAGATTCTATAGGAATGTCCTCGAACCCTTAATCTCATATATTTTCCCACAGCACAAAAGGGTATGGAATGTCCCCAATCTAATGAAAGCATTGCAGTGAAACATTAAAGGATCAGGCAATATTATAGACCTTCTTTTCTGCCGCTAAATCAAAGTTTGTTAATGTCACCTATTATTATAATCTCATCAAAAAATTTATTTGTGAATGACATCCTTTCATTATTTCAGTTTTAATATATAAACCTTAAAACAATGGTATTTTGCAGCATAATTTACTGGGATATGATTCTTTATAAACTAGCCCCCCCCCCACCCAATCTACACAAATTCACAACAATCAAATCCTGTTTCTATAGAACCATCATCACCAAGAATTATTTCAAATTACTGATGACATATACATTTATTCTGTCTGATAAATTGGCGGTTATTTGCTGCATTGTTGTAAAGTTATTAATCATTTTCAATGTATCCCCTACTTTTGTCCTGCGGGAGGGGTGGTGGAGGAGGGGGAGGGGTTACAAATATTGAGGAGGGATAGAAAAGTCATAGAAAATGTTAACTGATACAAGAATCATACCTTCTGTTGAAATAGTGATAATACTGGCTATACAATTGAAGTTATCTACTGTTAAGTAGGCTTGATCATTCAGTTAAATGCCACACCCACTTTTGATTATTTAGAGGGGGTGGGTCATAGAAATTTTTTTAAAAAATATTTCTAATTGAGACTCAATCATCATTCCAATTTTAATGCATGCAGGACATATATATGCAATTTTCTAAACCTTAAATCAATGCTATTTTTGCAGCATATCTTGCCAACATAGCATTTTTTCGTTAACGAGCCCCCCAAAATAGACACAAATTAGCAAATTTTGACAATCACATTCTGTTTCCATAGCAACCATCATACCTATAGTCACCAATTTTTTACCAGTTATTAATGACATATATGTGCATATATTCTGAAAAAAATGTGGTTATTCATAATGTTTATGTAAAGTTATTAATTATTTTCTATGTACCCCCTACTTTTGTCATGTGGGGGGTATAAATATTGATTTTTTCCTAAACGCTGTAAAATTTTGCTTAATTATTGCCAAATTGTGGTGAGAATTACAAATTAGGATGTAACTAACATGGTCTCCAAAATTCTACCTCCATACCGCAATTTAAGGGCTAGCCCATAACCTATTACATTTGATATTTCCTGATTGTCTGTATTCGTGTTCAAATCCGTTGGGTTTTGTTTTTTGTTTCCGCTTCTTGTTGATTAGCTATCTTGTTTGGATTGTTTATGTTAGCAACCGTATTTTGCTTTTTGTTTTCAGTTTTTTTGTAATTGTCGCGGGCAGTCCTTGTGACAAGCTTTCTAAAAAAGGATCCTGAATTATTTACAGTTCTGCTAGAGTCAGAATTCTGGTTATTTATTGCCGTTTTCCTCATTTATTTGGCATAATACGCACCTCCATCAAACTTCCGTCTCCCTCTACTCTCTCTCCATGGCAACCTCCAACCTTTCATTTTTGTTGCTTTTGCAGGGCCTCAGACACCAACCCTGTCGGTGAGACAGTAGTAGACACAGAGCCAGCTGGACCAAGTGATGGCACAAAGGCAGAAGAAGAGGAAGAGGAACATGTAGACTCACCTGATGCTTGTCATGACCAACCAAAGACAAAGAAGAGTAAGCAGCTTGTTTGGGGATATAAGATTAGAAAAGGGGAAACTCATATTTCAAAATAAATATTGATTTTATTGATGAAAACATGTCATATTATATATACAAGTGGAAAGGGAATTTAATTTTCTTTAATTTGGTATATCTAAATAGATTCAAGGGGTTCATGATACACCAATTTTGTTAGTTCTCCCCAAATGTGATAGTTGCAGACATTGGCATTGGATGATCTCGGGGGAAGTGATAAAGGGGGGGGGGGGTGAATCAAAATGTCCTTCAAAGAGGACTTATTCCTGATCTCATATTTGGCTCATTACATTTTCCAACAAGATGGGGCTCCAAGCCATAGATCCCACAAGACAGTCAACTATTTAAAGGAGAATGTGCCTTGATTCATCCCACCTAATCATTGACCCCCCAGATCACCCAATGCCAATGTCTGCAATCATCATGTTTTGGGAAAACTAACAAAATTGGTGTATCGTGAACATTTTAAATCTATTTAGTCCCTTAAGGACAACATTTTTGAGAAGTTGAATTCATAATTTCAACAGCATATCAATGTTGCTATCAACCAGTCGAGGCCAAGATTGAGGGCTATATTTAATCAAAATGTGGGAACCTATGGTAGTATGCCAAATTATAGAAAATTTAATTATTTTCATCAATAAAATCAATTTTTATTTTTGAAATTCAAGTGTCCCATTTTTTGGACCACCCTGTATATATGTGCAGAATAAGTCATTACCTTACACAAAGCATTATAATTGCATTTATGTTGTGAGTATTTATTTAATCGGACACAAATTAAAAACTACTAGTTTGTGTGTTGAACATATGAAATAAAGGAAGTAATGTGCTTGCCATTGTGATCTCCCCATGGAAAAAGATTAATTCATCTGATTTTTCAAAATGAGTATACTGCTTTTATTATTACATTTATATGCACACTAGTATCTTGATGACCTATATTCAGCACTGTATTGATGTATTGGCACCTTATTAGGCTCATAATTCAATCATGAAGTGTAGAGGTGTAGATTCCAAACCAGGAAGTATTTTTGTGTCTATCAAAATCCATTTGCATCCTACGCATCCCTACATCTTATCCAAATATGATACTAAATAATGAAATATAATATTATAATCTTTGATTTTGCAAAGTTTTATGATATTTGATAAAGTTGTTTTTGGAGAATTTTTCTATAGCCATTTTGTAGGGAAAAAATGATGAAAAAAATGTACAATCTTTTAATTAAAAGTATGACCTGAATCGATTGCAAACTTCATATTTGCACATTTGATGAGATGAACCATTTGTGTCATATTGTAAAATCGATTCAGGTCATAGTGTATTTTTTGGTATTTCTGTGATAATCAATGGAAACCAATGGCCTCTATTGGGATCTGCTGATATCCTCATGTTAAGTCAATGGTACACAGCCCCATGTAAGTCATATTTTACTGAACGAATTGATTCTCAGCTTATGTGTGCCCAAGCACTTTAATATTTTCCAAAGTATTATATGACATTCTGTTCTCCATGTTACACCTAAGAATGATTCATTTTGACCATAGGGATATTTGCCAATAATCGCACCTCTTCCTTTTGCACTAAAAGGCTTGTAAGGATTTGTAATTTATGTTTTTACATAATTATAGGTTGGAGTGCCAAGTTGTTAGCTTGGTGGATGAAGATCTGGAGCAAACTGAATTTCTCCTTTGATATTCTCAGTGATTTGCTATGGAGAGTCATAGATGTCCACATTCTTAAGATTGTTGCATTCACCATCTTGATGGTTTCAATTGCTGAGGTAATGAAGGGGGAATGTTTCAAGATTCTACATGTACATGTACATGTACATGTAGAAAAAAATCTTTAAAACATCTCTTGTATTTTTGACAATGATTGAAATGAACTTCACAGAATAAGTAAATACTAGTTTATCATTGTAGAAAATATCTTATTATTGAGAAAATGTCTTTGTCATCACAGGAAATGTCCTTGTCATTAAAATATCAGGAATGGGAGTCAAATAGGAATCATGGTTCTATGGGGAGTATTGATTTGTTCATTCTCATTATTTGTATTTTGGTCAAGTTTTGATTGTACATACATGTACTTGTATATTCATGTTTTTAGATCTGTGCGCTGAACTTTGTGTTTGTCGTCTTCCTGATTGTGCTACTACCTGTTCCAAAGTTGAATGCAGCTTTGCCTCATTTTGTCCAAATATGGGCGGGTATTGTTATACTTGCCAAAATGATATATCAATTGAGCATCGTAAAGCGTGACTATTGGTATTCAAATTGTACGGTAAGTTGATGAAGAATCACATTTGTATTAGTCAAATAAAATATTGAATTTCATTGTTTTAATGAAAAATACAAAACTGTTGAGAAGTGTGAGCTTCAGCCTCTCTGGTTTTGTGGCTTTCCGGAAAAAGTGTGTTTATTTTGATTATTATTAATTATAATTAATAATGAATTTAATGATTATTTCATGATTGATGTCTTCTTGTTTCAGAGTGTATCATATGATCAGGGTATCTTCTTGTTTCAGAGTGTATCATATGATCAGGGTATCTTCTTGTTTCAGAGTGTATCATATGATCAGGGTATCTTCTTGTTTCAGAGTGTATCATATGATCAGGGTATCTTCTTGTTTCAGAGTGTATCATATGATCAGGGTATCTTCTTGTTTCAGAGTGTATCATACGATCAGGGTATCTTCTTGTTTCAGAGTGTATCATACGATCAGGGTATCTTCTTGTTTCAGAGTGTATCATACAATCAGGGTATCTTCTTGTTTCAGAGTGTATCATACGATCAGGGTATCTTCTTGTTTCAGAGTGTATCATATGATCAGGGTATCTTCTTGTTTCAGAGTGTATCATATGATCAGGGTATCCCTCCTCCATTTAACTCTACAGCTAACAATGCTAATTGGTTTGGACTTGTGAAAACTGACAATATCTCACATTATCTGAGGGTAAGTTAAATCATGTATTGAGGTTTACCAACATGTATATCTTGACTGATAAGCAAGCCGCAAACATTGTGAATTTAATTAATACAGTTATGCACATGAACTAGTAAATCCTTGTAGCTATGAAAACAAATTGAGGGTAAAAGAGATAAATACAGGATGTAGTCAATTTTTAAAATAATGTTTTTATCAACCTGCTTTATTTAATAAATTATTTCTCACTGAGAATGAGTTGAATATTCATTGACACATTATTCCATTTTGATGTCACAATAATTGCTGCTGTGTTATCCTATATGCTGACATGTTATCCTATATGCTGATATGTTATCCTATATGCCGATATGTTATCCTATATGCCGATATGTTATCCTATATGCTGATATGTTATCCTATATGCCGATATGTTATCCTATATGCCGATATGTTATCCTATATGCCGATATGTTATCCTATATGCCGATATGTTATCCTATATGCTGATATGTTATCCTATATGCCGATATGTTATCCTATATGCCGATATGTTATCCTATATGCTGATATGTTATCCTATATGTCGATATGTTATCCTATATGCCGATATGTTATCCTATATGCTGATATGTTATCCTATATGCCGATATGTTATCCTATATGCCGATATGTTATCCTATATGCTGATATGTTATAGAACCACATAGCTCTGGTTGCTCTCATCATATTCCAAGCAATAGTGAAAGTACACCAAGCCCAGTACTACATGAGACCAAACAAGACACCTCCAGAAACTAAGTACCCTGGAAAAATCTTCCCAGAGATTAGGCGTCAACATGCAGACGAGGGCTTGTTAAATTGTGCAAAGTTTTTACTCAATTTTGGATTCTACAAATATGGACTTGAGGTAAATTGAAATACCAACACAAAATAGACTCATCCTGTGTATGGACACACTTAGTGAGAAACTTGCAAATCAAAACTGTTAATGTCACAGATTTCAAAATGATGTTTTTGTTATATGAACATAGCATCACAATAGTCTACAAGTAAAAAAAAACTCATACATTAGTTTGCTAATATATATTTTCCTTTTCAAAAAATTAGTCAATAAAATATATTTTTACTTCAACTTTCAGCTCTGTTACACAATGACTGTCATCACTATTTGTGTGCGTCAAGATGCATTCGCTGTTCTCTATGGACTACTTCTTGGCATATTACTACTCCTCAACCGAAGAGCTTCATATATACTCTGGCCTATTTACGCCATATTCTTGGCAATATTAATCCCAATACAGTATTTATCTTGCCTTGGCTTCCCATTGGTGCTTTGCTGGGGATATCCGTGGGATGAAGTGGCTGAGTTCAAGAGAAATCTTGCTTGGTGGATGTTTCTTCCAGATTACATCCACCCTCCTGATCATAATAAACTTGTTGGTATGTTTATTTTTTTACTTTAACTGAATCAAACATAGAATCCATAAGCATAGAGGGTGGTCCAAAAAGTGAACCCCTGCAACAGGCTATATTTTCCTTAATACTTGCATGAATAGACTCATATTATCACATGTTGTAGAGAAAGGTCTAAAATTTTAGTTGATGCCATAATTTATTCTCAGTCTTAAATTTTGAAGAAATTACAAGAGTTTAACAAACATGCCTGAAAATTAGATATTGTACAAAATTTTACCAATGCGATTCACGGAAATTGTTGAAACACATTGGATGATCATCAACAGCTTTCAGTCAGTGATACAAGTTTAAATCCCTACCATATGACAAAAGGGACACTATTTAAGCAGAAAACACATTTCACACTTTCATTGATCATTTTGAAACAGTTTTAACCGTTCAACAGTTCAGGGGTATGTTACCTTCACAAACAGTTAGAGGAGGGCCTCTTGTGGAAGGAAGTTGCCCCCTTCCCTGTGACCAGGAATCTGAGAAGCCCTTCATCAAATATCTTTAGAAAAATCAAAAGAAATTCCAATATTCAATGTTTTGAGCCATATTTCATTAGAATTGGTCCATGATTTATGAAGATATTGACATTTCAAGATCATATAGGGATATGTTCACTGGAAAATGTTATCGTCTATGGAAGCTTAGAACATTTCTTTAGATCACAATAACTTTGCAACTAACAAAGGCAAGATGCTAGTTTTAAGCCATAATGTGCGTGATTCAAAACCAAACAAAGTATTAGTTCTGCAGCTTAAAAAATGTCAGGGGAAGGGTGTTGAAGGGTTGAAGAATCACAGATATTCAAAATCACATTTTATCCATTTTCAGTAATATTCGGTAAGGGCTTATAATTTCTACAAATTTCAAGACTAAGAAAAATGTATTGTACCAACATAAATTTTAGACCTTCCTCTACAACATGTGAAGATATAAAAGAATTCCTGCAAGTAATAAGGGAAATATTGCAGGGGTTCACTTTTTTTGGACCACCCTGTACATGTATATAGTCAAAACAGTAACTTTTGTATATTTCAGATAGTAATGTATAATGTACATCAAAGCTGTGGCCTTTTGTAATTTAGGGAGTTTCAGCCATGTTAATTTTTTCGAAAATAACATGGCAGAGAAGTATCAAAATATTTAAAGGACACAGATATGATAGCTAAACTAGAAAACAAACTAAAATATACAAAAGTTAGGATAAATATAAATGTTTCTATTTTTACATAAACTGTTTAACTGTTTCAATATGGTCATTTGATTGCTTATTTTTTAAATTCAAAGTACTCACAAACATTACTGTTTTGACTGTAAAGCCCAAATTTTTCAGAATTTCTGGATTGTTCTTTGAGTGAAGTCACAAAAATATGTTCCAATAGTAGTATAATTATTACATCTTTTGCCTAAGTTTTGCCTCAGCTATTTTTGAATCCTAGCTTAGTTGTATTCGGAACCCAAGAATTTTTAAAGCAGAGTTTTTACCTACACAGCAGGTCAATAGGTCATGAATAGAAAAGTACTATGTATAATATAGGATTACATGTATATAATGTACATGTATATAATGTGAGTTGTGACAAAAATGTAATTTTTTGCAGTTGATTTCTTCCAACTCTTATTTGTGGTTCTCCAATGGCGAGTATTCACCATAGAAAATAGTTCCAGAAGTGTGGAGGAATATGGGGGAGGTGATAACAAGAGTATTATGAAAGATGTGTTAACAAATGCCCCTAATCCAGTCAAAGATTTTACCTCAAATAAGGAGTAAGTGTGGTGCCATAATGACTGAGCAAACTTAGAGAAAATTTAAAGGGCTTTTGATTCCATATACCCCAAGTATTTATTTGAAGATACAGTGTATTGGATGGATAAATACATCTACATAAAACTGTATTTAAGAATAGATTTAATTCTACACTAAATTCTGAGTTGAAACATCAGTCCATTTCATTTGGGATCGAACTCAACCCGACCTCTTGATATCTGGCCCATTGTTCGAGCACTGAGCTGAATGGTTATGCTGTATGCTTCTCTTAGTTTTTCTAAATTATGTATTTGTTGCTCTTTGATTCAGGTCCTACCTTGACTATATCAAGTCAGTGTTGTTTTTCTATGGGTTCTGGGTAACCTTGGCGATCATCTTCATCACAGGGACAAGTCGTATCAGTGTGTTCTGTATGGGCTACTTGATCGCCTGCTTCCTGTTCCTGTGGTATGGACAAGAGATGCTCGTAAAACCATTGCGTAATGTGCTTCGCATGTAAGTAATGTTACACTGTTGTTAATGCGCATTATTCTGATTACAAGTAACTTATTATTATTACACAGCAGTTGCTGTCTTTATGATGCTAAATTGAAAAAGAATCATTGTATTTAAAATTATTGATAAAAGAGTAAGCTTCAGATGAATTAAAATATTGAATGCACGTGCATTTGTTATTGTACATGTTGCAATGTTATAGGTGGGATGTCCTACTAGGCTATAACTTCATAGTGATTCTGCTAAAAGCAGCATTGCAACTAGTGGCATGTGTGTATGTAGAAAATCTCATAGTCAATCAATGCTGGCTGGTTCAACTCCTCAGCCTTGTCTGTCTTAAAGTGGATACATACCCAGAAACAGGTCAGTTAGAAATACATGTTTTGAACCAATCCCCAACCAATCTAGTGGGACCAATCAAAAGTGTTTATCAGGTTTTTTCAGGTTTAATATGTTAGTCAGTGGTAGATAACATAAAATGGGATATTAGAGAATTTTCGTTATATGTTTTAATTCTACTTATACCGATATGTATACGTATGTTTATAAGTCTAAGTTTCAAGTTAGAACCATGTTTCGATATAAGTTACAAATTTATATCAGGCTTGACCTACACCACTTGTTGAGAGTTAAACATGTTTACACGTATAGGGGGAGACCTTCACTGTTTATTGCGCAGTCGGTTCACACATCTCTAATTCCAAAAATGTAAACTGATAAAGTTAATACTTTTTATTTTAAAACATTACCTGTTCGTGTCCACATGGCGCAATTGGTTAGACTGTTTTATTTTTTTCTCAAGATCCGGATTTTGTTCGCAGTTCGTTCAGGTCGCACCACGTCGGTGTGCAACGTTGTTTAACGCGTCCCTTAGTCTAGAAGGTCATCATGACCTGATTACAGAACGGTATGGTCACCATCCAATTTTGAATCAATTCAAAATTCTAAATCACATTCCCTGTCCGGGAAAGTCCATGAAGTTCGTAAACAGACCGTAGAACATTGTATCTACTTTCATTCCGTTCGCACACAGTTTAAAACCAGTTTTGAAGAACACAGTGGCAACTTGCTTGGTGTGATAGCTATATTTTTGCTAACTCGTTGATATATACGTTCTTAATCAGTTTTAACCTGTTTGCAATTAGTTCTACCTCGTTTTCAATACGGCCTCAGACAGTTCAACTCATTGTTAAAACGTCTCTAGTAGGATTGAAGTACGACGGTTCCGTTCGTAGTACGTCCAGCTCATCGTTAGTAGGTTGTCACTCGTTGTAATTGTAGAACGTGACGACCAAGAGAACATTTTGAGCATGTTCTAAGTTCTAGAGGACCTACCCGTTTGAGTATGTTCGATGAAGTTTGTAAATAGACCCCAAACGATTCTAAGTACGTCCAGTCCGTTCGTACACAGTTGAAGCCCATTTTCGAGAATGTAGTGAGAACTAGTTTGGTGTGATAGTAGGGTTAGATAATGCCAATTGTGTATATATTACGATGAAAAATAGGATAAGGATAGTACTAACTTATAAACACTGTTCTATACGTGAAAACGTATTGCCTTACGAATAGAAAGCGCAAGATGTTATGACGTATTACAACAAAAGCTATACATATAAGTATAAGGAATCTTATAAGATCACATTAACAACGGCCAGCATCATGAACATCAAGTCCAAACAGTATGTCATTGGGTGTAAATAAAGACCAATTGTGTACAGTATGTAAGACATTGAAAAAAAGATAAGAAAACTTCTAACTTATGATTCCTGCATCTCCTCTATCTGTAAAAAACGCATAGCCTAAACAAATAGAGAGCGCAAGTTGTGATGACGTATTACACAAAAGCTATACCTCGGGGTGGAAAATTTTCTAAGAGGCTCTGTTAAGGAAAAAATGACTTGGTGAGCTGGATGGAATTTCTGTGTATTTTTTTATTCTACTAGTGTCCTACATAAAGAATTTCGCCTGCGAAGCATATAACTCTTGCGAACATATCTAAATACTGGTCCGAAGAAGACATACCTTGAATTTTTTAGAAAAAATTGGCTAAAAATGGAAACTACCAAAAGTCAAAATGTTCAACTCAAACAAAGTTGTAGCTGCTCTATATCAATATTATGTGTTATGTAAGGTTTCGCAGATGTTTCAGGACCTTCATTAGTATACTAGGTCTAGAAATGAGACATTTAAGGACAAAACCTGGCATTTTTTATCATTTTCGCTTTCAGCAGTAATATATAGTTCCTCATATCTTGAATTTTATGCTGTCTGATTGTTGCATTTTCAATCAAATCTGTTCTTGTGCATGTCTTCTTCCATTTAAGGTATAAAAAATGTATAGTGGACAAACAATGTTCATATTAGAGCTTTCAGATCTCCCCTACCCCATTTATTATGGAAAATAACCGAAAAATATGAAAAAATAAATTAACATGAAATTATAAACTTTAATAAAGTTGTAGCTGTTCTATATCAATATTAGATCATGGTTTTGGGCTGTATGGGGTTTGTTTTTCTTGACTGGGATGCACTTAGAGTTTGCTTTTTCTTGCTAAGTTCCATTACAACTTTTGGTCCTTTCCCTTTGGCACTAGTGCTTATATATTTATGTGTTATTTAATGTTTTTAAGATTTTTCAGAACTTTTATTGGTATTCAAGTGGCTAGAAATGAGACATTTAAGGGCAAAACTTGGCACCAATTACGTATAACGAAAATTCTTTATTGAAAGATGTTGAGATCAGAGGATGTATGTACCGTATTCTCTGTAATTACCGCCCACTCTCTAATAAGCGCCCACCCCGCTTCACAAAGTTCAAGAAACATCGAGGAATCATAATAATCCATGTCAAGCGCATGTCAAGGTCGTGAACTTTCTGGTTTCTTTTTAATGTTTCTCGACTTTTACATGACTTTTGCACGAATAATGATGATCTCTCATCAAATTAGAAATAATGTATAACTTTAGATCGATATCCAGCAGTCTCTAGTGGAAATATTGAAGGTAATCGGCGATAATGACAAAGTGGGCGTGCCGGAAATAAATTAGACATAGACGGGTCTTCAACCACTGTCAATATTGTCTAAGCGATCTTTACCGTATTCTCTCCAATAACAGCACTTGTCATTTTATTATAAAAATATGTTGAAGAAAATGCATTCTTGTCAAGAAAAATTGCCATACATGAAATTCCTCGGGATTTCTGATTTCTTTCATACATGGGCGCTTATTAGAATGGTCTAAATAATGTATTTTCAATTTTCTAAACGCCCTGGGCGCTAATTACAGAGAATACGGTATATACATGTATAGGTTTTGCTGTATTTCAAGACAGAGAATAAACCAAGCTATAGTGCTACAGCATTATCTTTGATATACAGTTTTACTTGGTTAAAAAAAACCTGTCTTAATGGTCAAAATGAGCGCTCACTCCCTAATGAACACTCCGCTGACCCTGCCTTCATAAATGTTAAGTAAAATGCCATTGATGAATGACCAAAGATTGAAGAAAAGGTCAATCCTAAAGTCAAGGATAATAGTGTTCTTCCTCAAATCATGGTCAAAGAATACCTCTTCAGGGCGCTGTCTTTGAATGAGTCCTTTTCTAAGATCATTTTCTTCATTATCAGATGTGAACCAATCGGGTGACTGTAAACTGCCTAATGATGATGCAGGTCTTACGTGGGATGTGGTATGCTTTGTGTTCCTCCTGGCTCAACGTCGTATATACACGTCACAATATTTCCGTCATGTCGTCACAGAGCTTGAAGTCCAGAATAAACTAGCATCAAGGTAAAGTGTTATTGCTCAGGTTACTTGTTAGAAAAATTGCAACCAGAAAACTGTTTCCATTTTATGTGTTCTTCCTGCTGCTTTGAGAGTTCCCATTTTAGTTTCACAATTTATTTTGAACAATGCCACACATCCAGGAAAATATAAAAGTATGAACTAAGAAGCACTGGTCATTGAGTTGTTAACTTTGTCACCACCTAAGAGCAAAAATATTTTTATTATTTAAATAATCAAAAATGTTATCTAATTTTAATTTAGAAAGTACTTCCAAAAATTACTTCTGGGATGTCATTTTCTTTGTTTTGTAGGGGTGCCGAGTTGATTAACTTGAAGCTGATTGAAGCTGTGCTGATGATTAACAAGAGAGAGGAGTCTGTGTTGGCGAACATAAAACGTAAAATGACAAGAATCAAGCTAAAACAGGAAGCCATGCAGCAGAAGGCAGTTATGGAACCAACAGATCATTATATAGGTGGGTTGTTTATTAGCTGCCATAATGAAATATATTTAATATAATTATATAGGTGGGTTGTATATTAGCTACCATAATGTTGCACTGACATTGTACTTGGAAAAGGAAAATGAATTGCAGTCTACGTATAGTCTCGTATAGTGTTATGATATGTCTATGTAGAAAGGTCACACTGTTTTATTTACTCTATTTGGATAGAATGACTTCACATTTCCATATCAAGAGTGAACTTGATGTGTCAATGCTGGGATAAAGGAGGATTGGTGTATCCCACAATTCCATTAAATTTACCCTTGGCGTGTCCCACAATTCCATTGAATTTACCCTTGGTGTGTCCCACAATTCCATTAAATTTACCCTTGGCGTGTCCCACAATTCCATTGAATTTACCCTTGGTGTATCCAACAATTCCATTGAATTTACCCTTGGTGTGTCCCACAATTCCATTGAATTTACCCTTGGTGTATCCCACAATTCCATTGAATTTACCCTTGGTGTATCCCACAATTCCATTGAATATACCCTTGGTGTGTCCCACAATTCCATTGAATTTACCCTTGGTGTATCCCACAATTCCATTGAATTTACCCTTGGTGTATCCAACAATTCCATTGAATTTACCCTTGGTGTATCCCACAATTCCATTGAATTTACCCTTGGTGTATCCCACAATTCCATTGAATATACCCTTGGTGTGTCCCACAATTCCATTGAATTTACCCTTGGTGTATCCAACAATTCCATTGAATTTACCCTTGGTGTGTCCCACAATTCCATTGAATTTACCCTTGGTGTATCCCACAATTCCATTGAATTTACCCTTGGTGTGTCCCACAATTCCATTGAATTTACCCTTGGTGTATCCCACAATTCCATTGAATTTACCCTTGGTGTATCCCACAATTCCATTGAATTTACCCTTGGTGTGTCCCACAATTCCATTGAATTTACCCTTGGTGTGTCCCACAATTCCATTGAATTTACCCTTGGTATATCCCACAATTCCATTGAATTTACCCTTGGTATGTCCCACAATTCCATTGAATTTACCCTTGGCGTGTCCCACAATTCCATTGAATTTACCCTTGGTGTATCCCACAATTCCATTGAATTTACCCTTGGTGTGTCCCACAATTCCATTGAATTTACCCTTGGTGTATCCCACAATTCCATTGAATTTACCCTTGGTGCGTCCCACAATTCCATTGAATTTACCCTTGGTGTGTCCCACAATTCCATTGAATTTACCTCTCATTATGTCTTTTTTACCAGAAAATTATACAAAAAGAAACAATGGCTAGAGTTACACAGGAGGTCTAATTTCTTAGTTGTAAAGCATTTTGTCAATGAAGCTTTGTATCAAATGATTTTTGAGGTGTAACTCAGGTTCGGACTTTCACTAGTGGAGGGCATTTCTACTGAAAGGAGCGTTTTCAGTATGTTATCCTACACTTAGTGTGCTAAATGTATAATAACAGTAAAAAATATATTTGATATCTATTGACAAAATGAATAAACTGAGGATAATGCCACGATATACTCCGGAAAACCAATATGCGGAGGATATCGTGACGATATACTCCAGAAAACCAATATGCCGAGGATATCGTGATAGGTGATAGTTAATTTGAAATACCCTGAATTTCATGTAGTAGAAGGAGGTTGCAGTACATATGTATACATGTTTATTTTATATAAAGGGTGGTTGCAATACATATTCCTTGTATACATACCAAATATTACATTCTATTGAGGTGAATACATGTTCATCTTTCCCTCAGTATATTTCCCGCAGCCCGAAGGGCAAGGGAAATATACCTGAGGGAAAGATGAACATTTATTTACCGAAAATAGAATGGAATATTTGATTTATTATATCATTTTAATTTTCTACAAATTATGTGTATTTTTTAGAACTATTTAAACACATAAATAGGCTACAATACATGTGCTCATTAGAATAACCAAGATACATGTACAGCCACTTAGTCCGATGCAAGATATTGCCTTCTTTCATCCTTAAAAGTCGCACGTGCAAGATGTCTTGTGACATCACTGGTTTATAAACATCAACAAAGTGGCAACGGACACAGAATTGCTATGAGTACCAATGCTCATTGCTCATACTACAAACATAAGCTTTGACGTCATAACAATGAAGTTTTGTTGCCTGCGTATCCAAGTATTTTCTACAATATTGTTGTGACGTCATAACAAAGGCATAACATCCGGGACTTTCTACCGTGGTATATACTCCGTGGTATATACACCGTGGTATATACAGTTGAAAACGAGGCTGCAGCTGGAGATTGCAGGAAACAATGAAATACACCCTAATATTTTTAATCATGTGATCGGTTCTTATCCAATGAGAAAGCGAGAAACATTTCAATGATATAATAAATGCTAATATATCCATGATAATTTTATATAAAGGGTAGTTGCAATACATATTCCTTGTATACATGTTAATATATACATGTTAATTTTATATAAAGGGTGGTTGCAATACATATTCCTTGTATACATGTTTATTTTGTATAAAGGGTGGTTGCAATACATATTCCTTGTATACATGTTAATATATACAATATAGGCATTCCTCCCAGTTAAATATCCTTTAGAAGACTATTCAGTATCAGTGTTTATTTTCCTCTCCTAAAAACCTGTATAAGTGGAACACTTTTCATTCCTGAAAAATAGTGCTTTCCTTTAAACCTTATTTTGATATAGAGGTTCATTTTGTATTAAGTTAATGATAGCAGGACTTAGAAACATGTTTATCACCTGGAGGTGCCTCCCTGACAGAGGTCTTCCGCTTTACAGGTTTTACTGTTCAAAAATTCACATTAATTTGGAGCTGTGAATTGGAACAGCTTAACCTTTAGATGATCCTTTGGGATTAAGTAATATTATATTTTATTTTGTAATTATTTAAGTTTATTGGTTGCACTTTATTTTAGAGCCATTGGTTTCCCATGATAATGGTATAGTACTGCTAGAAGGCCCACACAGATTAATAAATTATAAGGACTAATGGATTAATAATTGTTATTTTGTATGATTCTTGTAAGTGAATGAAAATTGAAAGTACAAAGAAAACATAGGAATTGTATAATACATGATAACATTTATATTCCATTGAACCTTAGGTTTAAGTAATTCTGCTACTATCTGCCGCATTTATACTCCCAGCTTCTCTCGACAGTATGTGTATTGATGTGTTCTCCTCATTTGAAGGGACTCAGTGTTTATATCTGGTCCTGAAATATACCAAAATAAGAAAGAAGTTAAGATTGACCTGTAAATTGCACCAATAAAGGCCCCACATAAAGTGTAAATAACTTTGGCTTATACTATAGTCTTAATTGGTTCATAAATAAGCGCGAAATGAACTCATCCATGCATGGAAATGATTCAGAGAAAAAAGAATTTCAAATTTTAGTTGTCATAGAAACCAATAATAAACCAAACAATAATATTTAAAACATAATACCCTGTTTTTGAAGTTTAGCAAATGTAGCTTTTATGCCACCTGAGTGATGTTATGATGAGGTCAGTAAGTTTGCAACATTTTTGATATGCTAATACAGGTACAAATGGTAGGTCAACTCGCACCCAAGACAAGTCGTACCCAAGTATATATTTTGTTTTGAATCAAGCGTTGGACTGGGAATGTGAATAGATATACATATTATAATTGTAACATACTGTTCAGAATAGTTTAAAGTTTGAAGAATTATTTTCGGAAGAAATTGATTTAATTTTGTGACACTTTGAGCTTTGAGTGTCAATTTATTTTGACTATTATTTTATATTGGTCATAGATTCAGGATGTTAAAGTGAAGAGACATATGTTTATTACACATATTCATAATATCATTTTTCAAAATATTGAATGTTTATGAGTGTTTGGAACAAGTGTCAGATCTAATGTTGTAATTATATTTATTTATATATATGTTTGACAAAAAATGTTGAGAACAAGCGCTTCAAGCAATTCTTTTATTAAATAAAAAAGGTGATCCAAGTTAAATCAAAATGCTTTCCTGAGAAATTGAGAAAAAATGTCTTCTAAATTCAAAAAAATATTGAGGCTATTTGAGTCAGATAATACCTTGAAAACATTATTATACAAACTAAATTTTTTTCACTAATATGCACCCATAATACTGAAAATAATCTAAGGTACTAGTTGTCTTGGGTACCAGTTGTCTTGGGTACGAGTTGTCTTGGTACCGGTTGTCTTGGGTATGAGTTGTCTTGGGTACGAGTTGACTAGGAAGCGCTAAGACATATATTGAAGTGGCACATTAGATATGACATTTTATTATTGAAATAGTGTGTCCTTTGTTCAATCTTGGCATTGTTGTTAAAAGATAATGTTTTTGGCACTGTATAATGGAATATTTGATGATGAAAAAATTTTCTCTGAAATAACTTTTAATAAATAAGTCATGACAAATATGTTGTAGTTTCAAACTTTACATGGGGACTTTTAGAGACTTTGTTATTAATCTGCTTTTCTGGAAATGTGGAAATATAATAAAAGATAAAAAACGAACAAACATGAAATGTAAGACATGTTGAAGTATACTGTAAATAGATCATAAAAATGACAAACTGATAAAGGAGAACACATATTTCACATTTACTGTACACTTGTGTTGTAAACAATGCTATTTGACTTCAGAATGGTAAATAACCATTTTTTCTTAATTACCCCACGTTCATAGACTCATTGAATGTATATTAGACTCAAAGTATCGATTTTAATAAAAAATCCCAATGGCATTGTGTACACATATGGTACTTAGACCCCCCCCCCTCCAATTTCTATACCTCACCTAACATTATATGCACTCAGATCATCTTTTAATCTTTCTACACTGCTTTTAATAATCTACGTTGAATGTACAATTAGTTGTTGAATGATCAGGCATTGACCATTGTACAGTTTTAGTTCATGTTGGAATTCCTCATTAAATCAGAAATTCATTCTCTTAAATTTTGCTGAATGAATCAATGAAAATATGAAAAATGATATATGGATATAAAAATTAAAGTTCATGAAAGTATATTTTTGAAAAAAACAACATCTTCAACATTTGAGGTCCCTTTATAATGCTGTATTATAAGTTATTTGTGCAGACTCATTAAAAACTTATTCCATGTGTTTCTTAATTTGCTATGATCAAAATAAACACCATTCTATAATATTGACATTGAACTTCCAGCATTAGCCTTGCCCAAGTCGGTATTTTTTTTACTTATCTGATCTTGAATTATTACCGCCTTGTACAATCCAATACATCTCCGCTGTTATTATGCTGAAATATTCAACGGTTTCGAAATTTCCATAATACCTACGCTATTAGGGGTATCGCGAAACCTTATTGATTGACAAATATACGCTTGGACACGACGTGTGGCTTCAGGCTGAATGACCAATCAAAACGTTATCAGGTTGAGCTGCATAATCAAAACAAACTTCCCATCTACGACTTGAAATTCCATGATCTGATCGAGGTTTCGTTAATAGTTACAATATATTAATGTTATTAGATGTATATTGGAAGGTAAGAGTCATTAATATAAATTAAATCATGCGATTCAATGTTGATTTAGAACTGATTTCGCGATGAAAATGCACGAAGACCAAGTCCAATGTAGCGGGTCATGTTGTCGTCGATCGGTGATTGAATCTCAGCCTACATGTTCAGCGATCGTTTCAACGTTTATTGTTGAAATCTTCTCACCTTTGGTTATCCGATCGATGCCCCGGCATCCACTAAACTCTCATTGATATTTATCTGATAAAATATTTGTATTTTCATGATGAATTCATGCTCAGATTCGTGCAAGATTTGTTCGTGAAAAGTCCCGGTGAAAAGTGTACTTGTTTTTGACCGTGCATAATAATGAGCTAACGCTACAGTGCCGTCGTTGATTGGTCAAATTTTACCGACATCAACAAACTGTCGGTAAAGCACGTGGCTTTCTCTTTGGTACAAGGCAGTCATAATAGAAATCAAGATAAGTAAAAGAGACCGACTTGGGCAAGGCTATTCCAGCATGTGCATTTAAGATTGTTCAGTGGTCATTTGTTATTGCAGCACGAGACTGTGGTGGCCATATAATTATGGACACTCTGTATTTAGGACTGCTTGAAGGTATACAGGGCGTGATGGCTTTATTCCAACTACTTAATGAATCAATCAACACCTTGTTTCTCTTGTGTTCAGATTTTAATTCGATAAACATGCAGCTAAAAAATGAAAAGTTTGAACAACATTTTTGATTTTTTTTTCTTGCTTAAAATAATATTTCTATGTTTAAACTTTTGTTCATTTTATTTATTTTGTATAACTTTATGAGTTATATTGAATTTTGCATTATCAACTTGTGTGTAAAGTTATTTGCTGTTCCATGTTTCTGCTACGCATTTAGTACACATGTGCCCATATATGGGTACAGTGTTCGCTGAGCATATCCGCAAGCATGAATCATTGATAGCAAACTAAGAATACCTGAGCATGAAACTATATCATTGGCTCAAAACATATTCTCTGTAAGTAATGTAGAATATCTGTACTAATACCAAAACTGGTTTTGGTTCAGTCTTGGAATATATATGAAACTTTATTGAAATGTCAAAGTTGTTCAAGAAATGCTTCACAAATATGATTAATTTTCAAAAGAAAGAATTGAGGGCAAATCATGAGAAAACTTTGCATGAACAAGTAAATATACTACTGCTTAAACAGATATGCTGATTTGTGTAAATATGGCTTAAACAGATATGCAAATTTGTGAAAATATGGCTTAACAGATATGCAGATTTGTGAAAATATGGCTTAAACAGATATGCAGATTTGTGAAAATATGGCATAAACAGATATGCAAATTTGTGAAAATATGGCTTAACAGATATGCAGATTTGTGAAAATATGGCTTAACAGATATGCAAATTTGTGAAAATATTCCTTAAACAGATATGCAGATTTTTGAAAATATGGCTTAAACAGATATGCAGATTTGTGAAAATAGGGCTTAAACAGATATATAAATTTGTGAAAATATGGCTTTAACAGATTTGCAGATTTGTGAAAGTATGGCTCTCCCTGACAAGAAATTGTGCATCTTTCTAAAGCTAGTTGATTCAAAATTCCTTTCAAAATTAAATCGTTATATTTCCTGAATGGTATTTTATTTTTCTTCAATATACTGTAGATTCAATTTATTTCATTTGTGTAGTTGTGTTAACTGCCCTCTGGTTTGAAATATTTGATTTCAGTTAAGTCTATATTAGATTCCAATTCTTACATATTTTGCATTCTTTAGTTCATACTTTTTACATTCAGTTCAGTCAATATTAGATTCCAATTCTTACATCTTTTTTCATTTTTTTGTTCATACTTTTTCATTCAGTTCAGTCTATTATAGATTCCAATTCTTACATCTTTTCCATTCTTTAGTTCATACTTTTTACATTCAGTTCAGTCAATATTAGATTCCAATTCTTACATCTTTTTAGCTCACATGGTGAGCTTTTGCAATCACTCACTTGTCCGTCTGTCTGTCCGTGCGTCAGTACGTGCGTCAGTACGTCCGTCCGTCCGTCAACAATAGTGGCACGTTTTAAAACCTCTGTCGATAGGATTCCCGATTTAAGTTATTTCTGTTCAACATCAATACAGAAAACTCCCCTATGACTCCTGGTTCAAAAGCTCGCCTATTTTCAAAATGGCCGCCATTTTTGTCTCACAAAATTCACTTTTGACCAATTTCCTAGGGTTACAAATAATTTCAGGTGTCTTACATTGTCAAAATCCATATCAATGTAAAGAGTAGATGTATCATATAATTTTGTTACAAAAAATCGGCAAAAAGTTATATCCATTTTTTTATTTTCAGCCATTTTAGTTAACATTGATTTGTCTATCTGACTCGTGAAATCCACTTTTCTGTCAACAATAATGGCACGTTTCAAAACCTCTGTCGATAGGATTCCTGTTTTAGGTTATTTCTGTTCAACATCAATACAGAAGACTCCCCTATGACTCCTGGTTCAAAAGCTCGCCTATTTTCATAATGGCCGCCATTTTTGTCTCGCGAAATTGACTTTTGACCCATTTCCTAGCTTTACAAATAATTTCAGGTGTCCTGCATTGTAAAATCCCATGTCAATGTAAAGAGTAGATGCATGAAATAATTTTGTTGCAAAAAATCGGCAAAAAATTATATCCATTTTTTTATTTTCTGCCATTTTAGTTAACATTGATTTGTCCATCTGTCTCGCGAAATCCACTTTTTGGACCATTTGCCTTAAAACCTCTGTCGATAGGATTCCTGTTTTAGGTTATTTCTGTACAACATCAATACAGAAGACCCCCTATGACTCCTGGTTCAAAAGCTCGACTATTTTCAAAATGGCCGCCATTTTTGTCTCGTGAAATTCACTTTTGACCCATTTCCTAGCTTTACAAATAATTTCAGATGTTCTGCATTGTTAAAATCCATGTCAATGTAAAGAGTAGTTGTATGAAATAATTTTGTTACAAAAAATCGGCAAAAAGAATTATATCTGTTCTTTTATTTTCAGCCATTTTAGTTAACATTGATTTGTCCATCTGTCTCACGAAATCTACTTTTGGACCATTTGCCTTAAAACCTCTGTCAAAAGTATTCCTGTTTTAAGTTATTTTTGATCAACATCAATACAAAAAACTCCCCTATGACTCCTGGTTCAAAAGTTCGCTTATTTTCAAAATGGCCGCCATTTTTGTTTAGCGATATTCACTTTTGGCCTATTTCCTAGCATTACAAATAATTTCAGGTGTCCTGCATTGTAAAAAGCCACGTCACTGTTAAGAGTTGTTGTATGAAATAATTTTGTTTCAAAAAATCGGCAAAAAATTATATCCGTTTTTTTATTTTCAGCCATTTTAGTTAACATTGATTTGTTCATCTGTCTCACGAAATCCACTTTTGGACCATTTGCCTTGAAACCTCTGTCGATAGGTTTCCAGTTTAAAGTTTTTTTTGTTCAACATCAATACAAAAAACTCCCTTATGACTCCTGGTTCAAAAGGTATTTTCAAAATGGCCGCAATTTTTGTTTCTGGAAATTCTTTTTTGCCCCATTCTTAGCTTTACAAATAATTTCAGTTGTCCTGCATTGTCATTGTAGCCATCATTAATTTTTGAGCAACACCATGTGAGCCCAGTACCCACGGTACTAATTTTTCATTCTTTAGTTCATACTTTTTACATTCAGTTCAGTCTATTTTAGATTCCAATTCTTACATCTTTTCCATTCTTTCGTTCATACTTTTTACATTCAGTTCAGTCAATATTAGATTCGAATTGTTACATCTTTTCCATTTTTTAGTTCATACTTTTTACATTCAGTTCAGTCTATATTAGATTCCAATTCTTACATCTTTTCCATTCTTAAGTTCATACTTTTTACATTCAGTTCAGTCTATATTATATTCCAATTCTTACATCTTTTCCATTTTTAAGTTCAAACTTTTTACATTCAGTTCAGTGTATATTAGATTCCAATTCTTACATCTTTTCCATTCTGCCAGCAATATACACATGGGGTCATCACCAGAAGCTATGGTTAAAATAAGAATTCCTAAGTCTTTTTTGTTCTCTAATTATGACATCATCAGGTACCCATCGTTAGAACAATTTAATTAGGAATTTCAAATGCAAAAACTTCTAGTTATTACCCCCTGATTTGCAACATTGGAAAAACATTACCCATTTTTATATAAACGATATATGGTTGTGTTTTCAGCGATAAGAGGCGGGGATTATTACATGTTTGAGGATGATTCTGATACTGACGATGATGATGACGAGTCTGTTAACATTGCTGATATCAGACATGATAAACCCAAATCAAAAGACAAGGATGGACAACCAAAAAATCCTCTGCAGGTAATGACTACAATTTAGTTAAGAATTTATCAAGACTCTTCTAAATCTTGAAAGTCTTGTGAAGGGTGAATGTTTGATTGAATGCCTAAAACATTTAATTTGAACCCATATTTCAATTAAGTTATGTCTTCCTTATAGCTCGCTGTAGTATCCCTTAATTTAGAAAATGCCATTCAGAACAGTAAAAGCTGTATATCCTCAGAAGACCTCTCATTGTGAACTCTTTTTTCATCCCATATGTTTGAATTAATCTGCCATAGAAATCCACCAATATTAGATGGGTATTAATTGTCCTTGTGTGTGATAGTCATTAATTGTTTCATAAATAACATATATTAGATGGGTATAACTTCACTGTCCTTGTGTGTGATAGTCATTAATTGTTTCATGAATAACATATATTAGATAGGTATTACTGCACTGTCCTTGTGTGTGATAGTCATTAATTGTTTCATAAATAACATATATTAGATGGGTATTACTGCACTGTCCTTGTGTGTGATAGTCATTAATTGTTTCATAAATAACATATATTAGATAGGTATTACTGCACTGTCCTTGTGTGTGATAGTCATTAATTGTTTCATAAATAACATATATTAGATAGGTATTACTGCACTGTCCTTGTGTGTGATAGTCATTAATTGTTTCATAAATAACATATATTAGATAGGTATTACTGCACTGTCCTTGTGTGTGATAGTCATTAATTGTTTCATAAATAACATATATTAGATGGGTATTACTGCACTGTCCTTGTGTGTGATAGTCATTAATTGTTTCATAAATAACATATATTAGATGGGTATTATTGCACTGTCCTTGTGTGTGATAGTCATTAATTGTTTCATAAATAACATATATTAGATAGGTATTACTGCACTGTCCTTGTGTGTGATAGTCATTAATTGTTTCATAAATAACATATATTAGATGGGTATTACTGCACTGTCCTTGTGTGTGAAAGTCATTAATTGTTTCATAAATAACATATATTAGATGGGTATTACTGCACTGTCCTTGTGTGTGATAGTCATTAATTGTTTCATAAATAACATATATTAGATGGGTATTACTTCACTGTCCTTGTGTGTGATAGTCATTAATTGTTTCATAAATAACATATATTAGATGGGTATTACTGCACTGTCCTTGTGTGTGAAAGTCATTAATTGTTTCATAAATAACATATATTAGATGGGTATTACTGCACTGTCCTTGTGTGTGATAGTCATTAATTGTTTCATAAATAACATAGAATAGAATAGAATATTTATTGAGTACATTCACACCCCTGAGGGTCAGGTACAAGAAAGTGCAGTACACAAAAAGAATATATATGATTTAACACTAGACTACTATATACTACATATAATATATGCTTAATACTATAAAATGTAAAATATGTATTACTACAAAATGCTTTTTGCGCAGCAGGAATTAGCCTTTCTAAATTAAGTATTGCTTTCTAAAATTCGGAAGGCATCACTAATATATTTTGCAACCTTGATGCAATCTTGATTTATACAAGTTAAGAGGTATATAAATTGATTTGTTTGTACTTTTGCCGTATCAGACAATTCAGTTTGAAGTAATAATCTTTCATTTTGATATTTTTTACACTTCATCATAAAATGTTCTTCATCATCAATAATATTGCAATGGACACACAGTCTTTCTTCAATTGGGGTTTTCTTTGGTTTTGTATATCTCCCTTGCTCAATTTGGAGGTTGTGAGCACTTATTCTCAAACGTGTAAAGTTTCTTCGCATATCAAGTCTGTCGATTATATTTAAATAATGTTCATATTTAAAATCTTTCTTGAGGGTTCTGTAGGTTCGTAGTTTATTGCCGTTATCATTTTTCCTAGTGTCAGTATTTAATTTATTCTTCCAGTACCTGTCAAATTTTAGTTTAAGTAATGATGTACATCTTAAGGTATCAATTGTAGAATCCAAAGATTCAGAGCAATTTTCATTAATAGAGCAAATTATTTTGTTTACGTTTGAAACCCATGAGTTTTCTTGTAGTTCTTTGGAGCAGTCAAAAGCTGCCTTGATTAGAACATTTTTTGTATCTTTAATGTGATGTAAAAAGTTGAGAATTTGGCCAAATATACCTATAAATAGTGGATATCTTCCAAGTTCCCCATAAACAGCCATATTAGTGGCCTTTCTACCAACTCCAAGTAGGAATTTGGAAAAGGATATGTTTAATTTTTCTGAAGGGAATTTGTTTTGGTTTAAGTATGCTTCTTCTAGGTTTGAACTGGATACTTTGTTAAGACTGAAAGGGGCCCATATTTCAGCCCCATATAGACAAATTGGTTTTATCATTTGATCAAACAGTTTAAGCCCAAGCTGTGGTTTTATATCACTCTGTTGAAGGCATCTTTTAAGTTTAAAAATTGCCTTACTAGCTTTTTCATGTAGGTGTGTTTGAGCTGATATAAAGCTGCCTGATGCTCGAAATATCACACCAAGGTACTTGTATTCTTGTACACATTGAACTTGGAGTCTACCATATGAGAAATAGTCAGTGCAGAGATGCCCGTTTTTTTGGAATTTAATTATCTTGGTCTTATTTATGTTGATATTAAGTTTCCACCTGTCACAATATTCTTTTAAGGAATCTAAAGATCTTTGTAATCCATGTTTAGAAGTCGAGAATAAAACAATATCATCAGCGTACATAAGCATGTTAATAATTTCTTTTCCAATAGATGGACAGTCATTTTTATAGCCAATAGTATCGGGTAAGTCATTTAGGAATAAATTGAAAAGACAGGGGGACAATGGATCACCTTGTTTTACACCAATATTTGCTACTTTGAATACAGTTCTCTTCCCGAGGTCATTGTTTTTGATGCAAAATTTATTATTATCATACATGTTTTCAATGATTTTTAATGTTTTACCACGAATTCCTGAGTTTAAAAGCTTGAATATTAGTCCCCTGTGCCAAATCGAGTCAAACGCTTTTTGAAAATCAATGAAACAAGCATAGAGATGCTCTTTAGAGTTGTTTGATAAGTGTTTATCGATTAATGTTCGAAACACAAACATGTGATCTGATGTAAGCGCTTTTTCCTTGAAGCCAATTTGATACTTACTAGATATATTATTTTTGAGTAGAAATGATTTAATTCTATTATTAAGGATAGTGTTAAACACTTTACCTAAGCAATTATTGATGGTTATTCCTCTATAGTTACTCATATCCGAAGGTTTACCAGATTTTAGAATGGACGATATGTAACCTTCATTCCATGATTTTGGATATTTTCCGCAATTAAGAATCTTGTTAAAAATGCTATTTAAGAATTTCAAGGATTGATTAATACTGTGTTTCACCATTTCATTTGATATTCCATCTAATCCACAGGCTTTTTTATTTTTTAAATGTTTGACAGCACCTAGAATTTCATCATCATTTATGGTGTAATCAAGATCATTAAAAAAAGGTTCATTTTTTAGATTAGAGATTTTCTGTTCAATGTCATTATCTATTGTAGTTGCTGTGTTGAGCAGTGATTCGTAATAAAGTAATTGCTCGGATGAGGAGATATGATTTGTATTTGGTGCCTGACTTGTATTTGTTGACACTGATTTTAGTTGCTCAACTAATTTCCAATATTCTGAAGGGTCATTTTCACTCATAATATGTAACTGATTAATAATGTTATTTTTAACTTTTTTCTTTGACTGCTTACACTTCTTTTTAAATATTTTTTTAAGCTTGAAATAATTCAGCCTCTTTTCATTATTGTTATGATCGCGGGCTAACAAATTTCCTAGTTTATTCACCTCTTTCTTCATTTGACTACATGACTTATCGAACCATGGAGTGGTTCTTCTAATCAATCGTTTTTTTGACATGATTTTCCGTTTAATGAGACATTCATTTGCCGATAATCTATAAGCGTTAGTCAATAGTTCTGTTGCTTCATCGGTTTCTAATTCATTGATACTTTTTGAGTTGAATGCCTGGTTCAGATTATTCAGTAATGAATTTTTAAAGCTCTCTGTTTTCTGTTTATACCACTTATATGTGCAAGGTAATTCTTTATGTATGACCTCTGTGTCATAATTGCAATGAGTAGTGCACAGAGTATTAAGCGATACTTTGATACTTAGGGATATTAGACAGTGGTTTGATATAGTCCCCATGAAATCATGAACTCTGAAATATCTAATTTTGTTCACTAAATCCTGCTGCACTAAAGCATAGTCAACTAAGCTACTACCATTCCACTGATAGCAAATTAATGCCCCAGTAAGGTCGCCAAAAATTCTGCCATTAAGTATCCTGAGTTGGGTGCTTTTGCATAAGTTTAATAATTCTTTCCCAAAAGTGTTTACATGCTTATCTTGACTCAAACGTCTGATAATATTATCATTGTCGAGAAAATAGTTGTAATGACATGGTACATAGTTATCATCTTCATCCAAAATAAAATCTAGTTCCTCCCCTGTTCGTGAATTTAGATCTCCCAAAATGATGACATTTCCCAACTCAGAATATTTGATAATGTTCTACTGCACTGTCCTTGTGTGTGATAGTCATTAATTGTTTCATAAATAACATATATTAGATGGGTATTACTTCACTGTCCTTGTGTGTGATAGTCATTAATTGTTTCATAAATAACATATATTAGATGGGTATTACTGCACTGTCCTTGTGTGTGATAGTCATTAATTGTTTCATAAATAACATATATTAGATGGGTATTACTGCACTGTCCTTGTGTGTGATAGTCATTAATTGTTTCATAAATAACATATATTAGATGGGTATTACTGCACTGTCCTTGTGTGTGATAGTCATTAATTGTTTCATAAATAACATATATTAGATGGGTATTACTGCACTGTCCTTGTGTGTGATAGTCATTAATTGTTTCATAAATAACATATATTAGATAGGTATTACTTCACTGTCCTTGTGTGTGATAGTCATTAATTGTTTCATAAATAACATATATTAGATGGGTATTACTGCACTGTCCTTGTGTGTGATAGTCATTAATTGTTTCATAAATAACATATATTAGATGGGTATTACTGCACTGTCCTTGTGTGTGAAAGTCATTAATTGTTTCATAAATAACATATATTAGATGGGTATTACTGCACTGTCCTTGTGTGTGATAGTCATTAATTGTTTCATAAATAACATATATTAGATAGGTATTACTGCACTGTCCTTGTGTGTGATAGTCATTAATTGTTTCATAAATAACATATATTAGATAGGTATTACTGCACTGTCCTTGTGTGTGATAGTCATTAATTGTTTCATAAATAACATATATTAGATGGGTATTACTGCACTGTCCTTGTGTGTGATAGTCATTAATTGTTTCATAAATAACATATATTAGATAGGTATTACTGCACTGTCCTTGTGTGTGATAGTCATTAATTGTTTCATAAATAACATATATTAGATGGGTATTACTGCACTGTCCTTGTGTGTGATAGTCATTAATTGTTTCATAAATAACATATATTAGATGGGTATTACTGCACTGTCCTTGTGTGTGAAAGTCATTAATTGTTTCATAAATAACATATATTAGATGGGTATTACTGCACTGTCCTTGTGTGTGATAGTCATTAATTGTTTCATAAATAACATATATTAGATGGGTATTACTGCACTGTCCTTGTGTGTGATAGTCATTAATTGTTTCATAAATAACATATATTAGATAGGTATTACTGCACTGTCCTTGTGTGTGATAGTCATTAATTGTTTCATAAATAACATATATTAGATGGGTATTACTGCACTGTCCTTGTGTGTGATAGTCATTAATTGTTTCATAAATAACATATATTAGATGGGTATTACTGCACTGTCCTTGTGTGTGAAAGTCATTAATTGTTTCATAAATAACATATATTAGATGGGTATTACTGCACTGTCCTTGTGTGTGATAGTCATTAATTGTTTCATAAATAACATATATTAGATGGGTATTACTGCACTGTCCTTGTGTGTGATAGTCATTAATTGTTTCATAAATAACATATATTAGATGGGTATTACTGCACTGTCCTTGTGTGTGATAGTCATTAATTGTTTCATAAATAACATATATTAGATAGGTATTACTGCACTGTCCTTGTGTGTGATAGTCATTAATTGTTTCATAAATAACATATATTAGATGGGTATTACTGCACTGTCCTTGTGTGTGATAGTCATTAATTGTTTCATAAATAACATATATTAGATAGGTATTACTGCACTGTCCTTGTGTGTGATAGTCATTAATTGTTTCATAAATAACATATATTAGATGGGTATTACTGCACTGTCCTTGTGTGTGATAGTCATTAATTGTTTCATAAATAACATATATTAGATGGGTATTACTGCACTGTCCTTGTGTGTGAAAGTCATTAATTGTTTCATAAATAACATATATTAGATGGGTATTACTGCACTGTCCTTGTGTGTGATAGTCATTAATTGTTTCATAAATAACATATATTAGATAGGTATTACTGCACTGTCCTTGTGTGTGATAGTCATTAACTGTTTCATAAATAACATATATTAGATGGGTATTACTGCACTGTCCTTGTGTGTGATAGTCATTAATTGTTTCATAAATAACATATATTAGATGGGTATTACTGCACTGTCCTTGTGTGTGAAAGTCATTAATTGTTTCATAAATAACATATATTAGATGGGTATTACTTCACTGTCCTTGTGTGTGATAGTCATTAATTGTTTCATAAATAACATATATTAGATAGGTATTACTGCACTGTCCTTGTGTGTGATAGTCATTAATTGTTTCATAAATAACATATATTAGATGGGTATTATTGCACTGTCCTTGTGTGTGAAAGTCATTAATTGTTTCATGAATAACATATATTAGATAGGTATTACTGCACTGTCCTTGTGTGTGATAGTCATTAATTGTTTCATAAATAACATATATTAGATAGGTATTACTGCACTGTCCTTGTGTGTGATATAGTCATTAATTGTTTCATGAATAACATATATTAGATAGGTATTACTGCACTGTCCTTGTGTGTGATAGTCATTAATTGTTTCATAAATAACATATATTAGATGGGTATTACTTCACTGTCCTTGTGTGTGATAGTCATTAATTGTTTCATAAATAACATATATTAGATGGGTATTACTGCACTGTCCTTGTGTGTGATATAGTCATTAATTGTTTCATGAATAACATATATTAGATAGGTATTACTGCACTGTCCTTGTGTGTGATAGTCATTAATTGTTTCATAAATAACATATATTAGATGGGTATTACTTCACTGTCCTTGTGTGTGATAGTCATTAATTGTTTCATAAATAACATATATTAGATAGGTATTACTGCACTGTCCTTGTGTGTGATAGTCATTAATTGTTTCATAAATAACATATATTAGATGGGTATTACTTCACTGTCCTTGTGTGTGATAGTCATTAATTGTTTCATAAATAACATATATTAGATGGGTATTACTGCACTGTCCTTGTGTGTGAAAGTCATTAATTGTTTCATGAATAATATATATTAGATAGGTATTACTGCACTGTCCTTGTGTGTGATAGTCATTAATTGTTTCATAAATAACATATATTAGATGGGTATTACTGCACTGTCCTTGTGTGTGATATAGTCATTAATTGTTTCATGAATAACATATATTAGATAGGTATTACTGCACTGTCCTTGTGTGTGATAGTCATTAATTGTTTCATAAATAACATATATTAGATGGGTATTACTTCACTGTCCTTGTGTGTGATAGTCATTAATTGTTTCATAAATAACATATATTAGATGGGTATTACTGCACTGTCCTTGTGTGTGAAAGTCATTAATTGTTTCATAAATAACATATATTAGATGGGTATTACTTCACTGTCCTTGTGTGTGATTAGTCATTAATTGTTTCATAAATAACATATATTAGATGGGTATTACTGCACTGTCCTTGTGTGTGATAGTCATTAATTGTTTCATAAATAACATATATTAGATGGGTATTACTTCACTGTCCTTGTGTGTGATAGTCATTAATTGTTTCATAAATAACATATATTAGATGGGTATTACTGCACTGTCCTTGTGTGTGAAAGTCATTAATTGTTTCATAAATAACATATATTAGATGGGTATTACTTCACTGTCCTTGTGTGTGATAGTCATTAATTGTTTCATAAATAACATATATTAGATAGGTATTACTGCACTGTCCTTGTGTGTGATAGTCATTAATTGTTTCATAAATAACATATATTAGATAGGTATTACTTCACTGTCCTTGTGTGTGATAGTCATTAATTGTTTCATAAATAACATATATTAGATAGGTATTATTGCACTGTCCTTGTGTGTGATAGTCATTAATTGTTTCATAAATAACATATATTAGATGGGTATTACTGCACTGTCCTTGTGTGTGATAGTCATTAATTGTTTCTACCCAATAGACTAGGTGCGAGTAGAAACAATCTTGATTTACGTCATTAAATATTCAAAATTCAGTCAAAGTAATGTCATATTTGAAATCTGCATGTAATTGTACATCTAGAAATATGGTTTCGAAAATTGTTTATCAACTTTGAAAATTAATTTTTTTGAAAATGTGCCTTCTAGGTCGGGGAGACTCCCCATAGACCCCATGTTACAAAATCACAAAAAGTGAAATATCTTTTTCTTGTAATTGTGATTTAAGTTAAAGGGAACTTTCTACTAAACCCACCATGCTATCTGACCCGAACGAGCCACCTGGTGGTGAATCTGGTAACTACCTACTCGCATCTGCCTTATTAATTTGCTTCCGTCCTTGTTCTATTGAAGTTCAATGTTGTCCAGTTTTAATTTGACAATATTTGAAAACAATGAAGTGTAAGCCACTCCAAGAGATGAAAAATACAAAATGCTGTTTATTTTCACAGATTCTGAACACAGCTGTAGAAGAAGGCATGGATAAAGCTATAGAAACATCTGATGATCCTGCTGACCAATCAAAAGGAGAGAATGAATCACATGACATCACACTTACTGATGAAGTTGAAGCAGAACCTAAACGTGAGTCTGGGCCATTTCCTGTTCCTGCTACAATCAAATGTTTTGATATATGGCCGTTACCATAATCAGAGAATACAATCAAAACTTATTTTTTACTTTGGCCTTATATTATAAAATATTTTACTTTGGCCTTAGAGGATCAGAAGTTCATAACATTTCAATTTGTGGAACTCATGAATTATTCATGAGACACATGCTAAGAAAGTAACCATGTGAAAACAGATCTGTGATTGGTCAGTTTGAGTTTGTAAGTATTGATATTTTGTTGATTTCAGCCAATCATAAAGCATTACGTCAACTCTCTTTCTCATGTATAGTATAAAGATAGATCGCTTGGATTTTACATTCATTCTGAAGTTGTTGTTAACTGTAACGAGACAGATGGGGGGAATTGTCTATTTATGACTCAACAGATTCTGCAAAATCTCCAATTAAGTGTAATGGTATAAACCTAGAGGATACATTGCCGTCAATTTAGTTTTACGAACTTTTGGCTCCCAATGTGATTTCCAATGTGATCCGAGTCTCAATTTTGTCTTAATGTCAGCAAAGGTCATATAATTATTTGATATTTTATCTGAATTATTTCTATTCAGAGTCATAATTTGAGTATTTTTGATATTGGTATTGAATATATTTTTGCTACAATAAACTTTTAAAGATTTTATTTCAATTTTATGTGTATTTGTGGTAATCGATCAAGATATTCCAACCAACCCACTCCACTCTATCACATCTAGTCATAGCTCCTCGGCCATACATGTATCTTTCAGTTTAGGAAGCAGAGTAAAATTTTCCAATAGACTAGATGCGAGTAGTAATAATCTTGATTTGCTTCATTAAAAATTAAAATTCAGTCAAACTGATGTCATATTTGGAATCTACATGTAAAATTACTTTTAGAAATGTGGTTTTGAAGAGTTTATCAACTTTGAAAAGTTTATTTTCTTTGATTTCTAGGTTGGGGTGATTCCCCATGTTGTAAAATCACAAGAAATATATAGTGAAATATCTTTCTTATGAAAGGCAGATAATAGTTTCTTTTACCAAACATATTTTAATTTGTATAACTATCAGATACAAAAGGGTAATATGAAAAGTGAACCACTAAAACTGATGATAATTCAAGTCTAAGGGAACATTCTACTATACCTGCCATGTTTTTTTCCCCAAATGAGCCACCTGTTTGCGAAACTGGTAACTACCAACTCGCATGTGAGTAATTTGAGCCAAATACTGGTACTTTTGGTGATTCCTACATAATGTGTTGTTGCCCAATACTTTTTTGTTAAGCAATTAAATCTTAAGAGTATGATTATAATTGATATTACAAAGAAATGGTGATATTTTTAAAGGCAGTGTTTTTGTGTTTGGCATTCAGTGTTTCGCGTCAGTATTCAGCTTTGGCATTTGCAGACACTCCAAGTAAACACAAGTTCAAACCTTAACTCTCATTATTTAAAAATCCATCATAATCTTGATTCTACGTTGGTGTAATTTCACATGTTGCAATTGCGATGATCCGCAATTGGACACCATGAAGAACAACAAGATATCACCACTGGAAATGGAGGTGACATAATTTCCAATTCAAATTTGGCAAATGGGCATCATTGGCCTGTTTATTCACTAGTATTCAGACATGGCCAATGACATGCAGGTTGACTAGACTGGATGCTTGAACTAGACTGTAACTGTAGACTCTCACTGTAGAATTGACTATAATTGTAGCACTAGCAATACTATTCATCATTTTCTGTCTCCAAATGTCTTGTCAAATCATGAACGGCACTGGCAAATATTGATTATATCCTTGCAACAAAGTATGCAAAATGTGTTATCCTCACTCAGAATGTCCAATGTAAGGAAATGCTGTGGCCCAATCTGCATTTATTCTAATTGTACCTCTCACTCCAATTCACTTAGCCTGCTGTTCTGACATTTCACTTAATGGCAACATTTTCTTTATTACAAAAAATGTGATAACGTGACACTTGGATTGTCTGCATTTGTAAAAATTGATACACTTTTGAAATTGCAACTGACGGTTAAATTTTTCAGAAGGTCCATGTACCAAGATATTGAATGGATTTAAACTGATCTGGGCTCTGATCGCCAGTGGCATAGACCAAGTCACAGGATTGCTTAACAAAATATCAAAGGATAACAGAGATGTAGCAGAAATACTAGAAGATGAAAAACGAAAGGAAAAGGAACGCATCCATGTAAGTAGTTTCTAAAAACTTATTGTTGATTAAAAATATATAGTTCTGTCTTTTTTGTCTTCAGCAAATTTTGCCCTGCCTTCCTTTAGCAGTTATAGTGGGGGATTTTTAAGATTTAAAATTGGTGTTTCCTTTCCTCTATTGACAAGCAATATTCTCAGCTTTGTTTTATTTGTGATTTAGAATCTCCTTTACTATTATTGTAGTCGAACTAGATTATAGTATTTATATCCCACTTTAGTGACATCTCCAGCTTTGAAAAGTGGAAATATTATATTCATGCATTTTTACAGTGAAATGTAAAATTAAGATATTAGCATGCTGTTGAGAGAAAATCCTGGAGATATCACTTATGTCATTCCTTAAAGTGACTCAATCTCAGGTTGAGCCACTTTAAGTTGTGAAATTGCTTTCCTTTATTCTTCCTGTAATCCTGGATGTTATATGTCACATTGTAGCTTTTTATTATTAGAGTATGTGTTGTTTCAATGAATGTTTCAATGTGTTTTGTTGCCTTATTTTATCTTGTGCTGTTACCACACCCTGTGATCAGAGAAAATGAAAGGGTGAGAAGCCCATTTATGCAATAAAATTCAACAAATCAACAAGATTTATTTTTCACAAGAGAGGTTACAAATAAATCGCTAAATGAATAGGTGCACAGTATGATTTAATCAGTTAGGTATTTTATGATTCTCGACTGATACACTTCTAAAGTGTGAGATCTTTTGAAAAATGTACAATGCTACAATGTGCTCAAGTCAATGTTTTTGCAATAAATCAAGAGGTCAACATGACTTATAAATACTTATAAGCTTTTCAAAATACTGTCCATATGTTAATAGTAATGAATAGGGAAAGAAAAAATGGGGACATTTTGAGTTATATGAAATTAGGTCAAGTAGCATCCCTTATCAAGTAGAGTTTTAGGGAGATAAGTTGGTAAGATATATACCGTATCCTAATTTTGAGGTTTCCATATCCAGAACCTCCATATCTCCCGCCATATCTCCCGCTTCGGTGCATATCTTCCTGCTTTCGGTAAGTTGTGGAAATGCATTAAAATGACTTTGCATATGAATGATTTGTTTATTTTTATACCTTGTACTATTGAAATGGCCATATGCCCCTGAAAACTCTATTTGGTATAGGATAAAGCAATTATTTACGGTCGGTTTGGATATTGGGTTCATCCCTCGTGAGATATGCACATCTACCTTCGGTCCCTACGGTCCCTCGGGTAGATATGCATATCTCCCTCTGGATAAACCCCATATCAAAAACCTCCCAGTACATCACCCTTATTTCTTATCATGTTTTCATGTTTTATAGACATATCATCCCGCCTCCGTTCACTCCTCTCCCCTCTGTTCAATTAGGAAAGTTATTTTTAAAAGCCAGTAATAAAATTAATTTTGTGATGATAAAGTCGCTAACAAGTATTTATTACAGGTTGTTTAGTCCTCTGTGGCTTGAAAACATTGACTTGTGCACATTGGTGGCGTTGTACTTTTTATCGTACCTAACAAAAGGTACGATATTATAGTCAGCTTGACGGGCGGGCGGGCAGGCGGCGTCTCACTTTTCAGCTTGTCTACGGGTTTCCAGCCAAACCATTTGAGGGATTCATCTGAAATTTTCAGGGATGTTTCTACATATCGATGTCAAGAACTGATTAGTTTTGGGCATTCTGGGTAAATCTTAAGGTGGCCATTTTGGATTTTCCATCCTAAAATCTTCACTTTCAAGACTTGTCTACAGGTTTCCAGCCAAACCATTTGAGGGATTCATCTGAAATTTTCAGGGATGTTTCTACATATCAACGTCAAGAACTGATTAGTTTTTTGGGCATTCTGGGTAAATTTTAAGGTGGCCATTTTGGATTTTCCGTCCTAAAATCTTCACTTTCAAGACTTGTCTACAGGTTTCCAGCCAAACCATTTCAGGGATTCATCTGAAATTTTCAGGGATGTTTCTACCTATCAACGTCAAGAACAGATCAGTTTTTGGGCATTCTGGGTAAATCTTAAGGTGGCCATTTTGGATTTTCCGTCCTAAAATCTTCACTTTCAAGACTTGTCTACAGGTTTCCAGCCAAACCATTTGAGGGATTCATCTGAAATTTTCAGGGATGTTTCTACATATCAACGTCAAGAACTGATTAGTTTTTGGGCATTCTGGGTAAATTTTAAGGTGGCCATTTTGGATTTTCCGTCCTAAAATCTTCACTTTCAAGACTTGTCTACAGGTTTCCAGCCAAACCATTTCAGGGATTCATCTGAAATTTTCAGGGATGTTTCTACATATCAACGGCAAGAACTGATTAGTTTTTGGGCATTCTGGGTAAATTTTAAGGTGGCCATTTTGGATTTTCCGTCCTAAAATCTTTACTTTCAAGACTTGTCTACAGGTTTCCAGCCAAACCTTTTGAGGGATTCATCTGAAATTTTCAGGGATGTTTCTACATATTAACGTCAAGAACTGATTAGTTTTTGGCCATTCTGGGTAAATTTTAAGGTGGCCTGGATTTTCTGTCCTAAAATGTTCACTTTCAAGACTTGTCTACAGATTTTCAGCCAAACCATTTGAGGGATTCATCTGAAATTTTCAGGGATGTTTCTACATATCAACGTCAAGAACTGATTGGTTTTTGGGCATTCTGGGTAAATTTTAAGGTGGCCATTTTGGATTTTCCGTCCTAAAATCTTCACTTTCATGACTTGTCTACAGGTTTCCAGCCAAACCGTTCAAATTGTTTACATATGTTACACAGTGATAAGTTCTAGAGCTGATTAACTTTTCTGTGGCCATCTTGCTTTCTTGGTCAACAAGACCACAATGCTGTGTTTTAGATATGATATTGTTCACGTCTGTGCCTTGTTTTAATAGTTCTAACACCTAAGAAGTGTATCACTTAAATTATAAAATACAGATTTCACCATTTAGCAATTTTTGTAAACTTTCTCATGAATAATAAGCAGATTTGTTTCTTCTGATCAGAGGGCACAATTCCCTTACTTACTAGATAACTTTAAATACCATCTCATTTGAATCTCAAACTTTTATATGTCTTAATCTTGTACATACTACTGGACTGCATATTTGTTGTTGTAAAATTGTGTTTTGTGCTATTCCTCCAGCCAAATATCTATCCTTATAAAAAGGTAGGAAAAGGTGGATTGTTGAATCTAAGGTGTTCTCATATAAAAGTTTTGCAAGTTGCAATTGTTAAAAAGTTAGAAAGAAGTCATTGCAAAACTTTTTAAAGGTTTATTTAAGATGTTGGTATTGTGTTTCAGTTTTATTTGTTATTGAATCTTGGATTTTGCCTCTAAAGTTTAAAAACTAGAAGAAAACCAGTAGAAAAAGTATAATTCTACCAAAGAAGCAACTTCCTAATGAATACTTAAGAGGCAAAATGGCAATTAGTGATGAATGGAAATTTGATTTGAATGTACCTAAGTTGTTATTTGCATGTAATGTCAATGTGCTTATAATGCATGTGATGTTTCTTGTTCTTCTTTTGGTTTATATTAGGAAGGGAACATTTTATGTTAAATATTAATCTTATGTTTTAATTTTAGCAATTCTATGACATACCACCTTCTCTGTCTGTAAGTTGTTTTGTACTTTAGGCTGAATAATCAGCCCTTTTCCATTTTTCCATACCCTCGCTTTGTGTTAACCAGTTTGGTTTTCTCAGTTTTATTTCCATTTGCTAAAAGTTGAGTGTAAAGTAATATGGAACTCTAGAGCCACAAAACGTTAGAGCTTGAATGTCGCTACAGCAAAGTTTGATATGATTATGTCACCACCATGAAGTCAAATTGTTACTGTAACAACCACTGGCATCTGTCTGACTCATTGTTCAGCATCTGTCTGACTCATTGTTCAGCATCTGTAACAATCGTTACACTTTTATAATTGCAATAAGGTGATGGCATTTTGTCATTTTAACACCTTGTCTAAACTCTTACTCTTTCAGATGTCATAATTTGAATTGAATTTGCTACTTAGTTTACCATTAATCCCAATGGTTGCTTATTTCTTTTTACATGCTGAGTAAATGTCCAATTCCTTAAGCATAAGATACCATACCATATTATACCATACCCTAGCATTATCATTTTCTAGGGAGAGACATCATCTTGGCAGACCCAGGATAATGCTTTTATTCCAGATGTAGTAAACGTCTTTGCTTATGTTGAGGGTTACCTTAGGATATCTTAGTTATTGTTACAAGTTCACCAAATAAATACCCTGGAAATATGTATTGTACATATGTGATGTAAATTTAATAATTTCTTGGATTTCTAGTATGTTTTGATTTCTGTGTGTTTTGTAGCATGATTTCTAGTTAAAAAGTACTTTCTCTAAGTAACAGAGCATGACAATAATATCATATAAAGTATATATATCTTATATATTGTTGCTGACAAATAATATGTCCTTTACATAACACATTTACTGATTTAGGGCATTCAGCAAAGTTTGATTATTGTCTAACATCAGTGATGATATATGAGAATAAAACCAGCGAAACTGCTGAGGAGTGAACAACTAATGATGATTTTCACTATGAAATTTGATAACTTGCAAAATGAAATAACATCGTCAAAAAGTAATATTCCAGTGTTCATTGGTAGACTGATTTAATAATAAAATACTATTTTGAAAAGAAATCGGATACAGATTTGACCTTTTAAGAGTTTTGACAGGATTTTCCAATTTTGTCTTGATGTTCTTCTTTGTTTATTGCAGCACCGTGAGCTACAGAGGCATGCATCGGGCGATCCCTCTTTACATCCAAATCAACCTGCAGCAGAGTGAGTAAACATTAGAATTAGAATTGAGGATGTCATGATTAAAACTGTTTTTTCTCTCAATTTTAATTATCATTTGGGAAATTTGAGAAAAAAGCTGTATGATATTAAATGTATGATTGAATTGGCATGTGTTCTGTGATTGTATTTAACTGTATTGTCATATATTGTCATCTTGTTCTTGTGCAGTGCAGTGGCCCTATCACTCTTATAAATATAGGTTATTATCTAGGAGGGATTGCATATAAGGTTTATCAAGAGGGGTGATGTAATATCTTCCCATGGGACCCAAAGGACAGATCTAATAAATCAATCCTGACTGGGGGATGTCCTTTTTATACCATGATAATTCATAAATGAATGAATCAATTCAGTAATTTCATCGGAACCACTCAACCACTCTATTGTTTGATTTAACAATGTGTCCATGTAAAATATACTGTGTGGCTCACCAAACTGCTTACTTCTAACACAGTGCAACAGCTAACCAGAGAGTGGCACATTGTTTGTATTGTAGTTTCTCTATTAACAGTGTGGGCACAGAGGAACAGGACAAAAGACAACCTGATGAACATGATGACACAGACAGGTAGGTGTAGTCTAAGGGATCCTCAGATATAGTACTAATGGGTCCTTTAAAGTATTGCTCTTTCAGAGTAGAGAATCACCAGTACTTGCTCTTTCAGGTCTTAAGTTCCTCAGTTAATAGAGACGTTAAGCATACTACCTTTTACAATGTTAACCGCGAATGGAAATGCTTACAGTCACCCATTTCATAAATAATAGTCAGTTTTTATTATTTGTGGTGGAATAGAGTTGAAAATATAACTTTTAGGTGAGATGAGCTTAAAAGACGTCTTTTTCAGACTTGTTGTTGTGATCGAAGATGACATCCACGAACCTACAACCAGTGATGATGACCATGATGAAACAGCATCCGAAAAATTTGAAAAAACCCAGCCAAGAATTTTCCAGCTCTTATTGGCTTTGTTCAATGCGCTTATTGCTAAATCAGAATTAGTTTGTTACTTTGTGATGATTTTGAATCACTTGGTGACAGCTAGTTTGCTGTCATTGCTGTACCCCATGGTTGTGTTCCTATGGGCAACACTGTCTGTCCCTAGGCCATCTAAGATGTTCTGGATCTCAACCATTACATATACAGAGGTAGGTTAGAGTTATCTCAACAGTTTCAAACTAGAAGATAGCACGTAATATATCCTCCCACCTACTCTTGTGATCTATGTTGCAGGGATCATTGTGATTATGTGCAGATCAGATTTCACATTTAATGCCCTAAACAATTTTGCAGCAACAAAATAAAAGCATAAAACTTGATACCTACATATTTTAAACATAATTCTATGTTTTTATTTATTGTACATTACAGATGTAAATTAACTATTGATTGAATATTCCTTTCCTTCAGGCAATTGTAGTTGTCAAGTATTTGTTCCAATTTGGATTTTTCCCATGGAATAATGGTGCTATCCACGAAGGACCTTTCTGGCCCCCAAGGATTATAGGCATTGAAAAGAATGATAATTATGCTGCTATGGACCTGGTGCTCTTACTGGTTCTCTTCATACATCGCTCAATACTCAAGGTGAGTTATCTTACCCTGATCTGATCATATAATTCCTACACTCTGGCTAAGATTGTGGTATTTAGTCAATCAGAGAGCACTGCATACCAACGTCCACAGATAACAATCTTGAGTGAAGACTCTGATTCACAAGGTCAGAGGTTTAAAGTTGACACTTTGGAAAGCATATCAGTCACCTCATGAATATATTATTAAATCATGAACAAGTAGTAACTGAATTTCAAAATTTATTCCAAATCTGACATTTAGAGCTCGGTCTTATGTGTACTTTCTGTAGTATGGATATTGAACATGTTAAATTCCACTCCCTTCATCTATGTATTTTGTGTAGTATTTATATTGAACATGTTAAATTCCACTCCCTTCATCAATGTACTTTGTGTAGGTTGAATATTGAATATGTTTAGTTCCACTCCTTTTATTTATGTATTTTGTGTAGTATGAATATTGAACATGTTTATTCCACTCCCTTCATCCATGTATTTTGTGGAGTATGAATATTGAACATGTTGAATTCCACTCCCTTTATCTATGTATTTTGTGTAGTATGAATATTGAACATGTTAAATTCCACCCCCTTCATCAATGTATTTTGTGTAGTGTGAATATTGAACATGTTAAATTCCACTCCCTTTATCTATGTATTTTGTGTAGTATGAATATTGAACATGTTGAATTCCACTCCATTCGTCCATGTATTTTGTGTAGTATGAATATTGAACATGTAAATACCACTCCCTTCAACTATGTATTTTGTGTAGTATGAATATTGAACATGTAAATACCACTCCCTTCAACTATGTATTTTGTGAAGTATGAATATTGAACATGTAAATACCACTCCATTCTTCTATGTATTTTGTATTGTATGAATATTGAACATGTTAAATACCACTACCTTCAACTATGTATTTTGTGTTGTATGCATATTGAACATGTTAAATTCCACTCCATTCTTCTTTGTATTTTGTATTGTATGAATATTGAACATGTTAAATACCACTCCCTTCAACTATGTATTTTGTGAAGTATGAATATTGAACATGTTAAATACCACTCCCTTCATATATGTATTTTGTGTAGTATGAATATTGAACATTTTAAATTCCACTCCCTTCATATATGTATTTTGTGAAGTATGAATATTGAACATGTTAAATATCACTCCCTTCATCTATGTATTTTGTGAAGTATGAATATTGAACATGTAAATACCACCCCCTTCATCAATGTATTTTGTGTAGTATGAATATTGAAACTGAATAAATAGATACTGAATGAGTAGAGAAGATATATTAATGATATAGTTTTTCATGAGATGAAACTCAGATTCAAACAAAAGTGTCATTTCAGCGCTATGGTCTTTGGAAGGATGCTCAAGACATAGAAGAGGACATGAAGAAAGCTGGTGAAATGAGCCAACCTAACACCCCCGTAGCACCCAAGGTAATCCCCTATATTAGTTAAGGTAAACCTAATACCCCTGTAGCAGCTAAGATAAACATAACACCCCTGTACCAGCTAAGGTAAACCTAACACCCATGTATTAGTTAAGGTAAACCTAATACCAATGTATTAGCTAAGGTAAACGTAATACCCATGTGCCAGCTAAGGTTTACCTAACAGAACCCCCCTGTAAAAGGTAAGGTAAACCTAACACCCATGTATTGGCTTAGGTAAACCTACACCCCTGTAGCAGCTAAGATAAACATAACACCCCTCTACCAGCTAAGGTAAACATAACACCCATGTATTAGCTAAGGTAAACCTAACATCCCTGTAGCAGCTAAGATTAACCTTACACCCCTGTAGCACCTAAGGTAAACATAACACCCCTCTACCAGCTAGGGTAAACATAACATCCATGTATCAGATAAGGTAAACTTACCACCCCTGTATTAGCTAAGGTAAACCTATACCCATGTTTTAGCTAAGGTAAACTTACCACCTATGTATTAGCTAAGGTAAACGTAATACGCATGTACCAGCTAAGGTAAAGTTACCACCCATATTGCTGCTAAGGCAAACCTTACACCCCTTTAGCAGCTAAGGTAAACCTTACACCCATGTACAACGTGTTTAACGTATTCTAACGAAGGCTTCTAATTATTTTCCTAATACCGATTCAAATACTTCTTACTTCAAACAGGTATGCTTCCTTTCTTTAATTTTCTTAAAAATAATATAAAATAACTCATGTCAATGTGAGGAAGCTGTCAATGTGAGAGAACATAAAATCATTTTGCTTTATCGTGTGCAGGATTGGGAGGGACTATCAGGAAATAGTAGTATCATTGGATGATAATTAATTATAGGATATCCTATGAACTGAGGAACATCATTTTTTATCTATGAGGTGATATTGATATCTGCATGAGAGAGCAAAGCGAATGAGTGCATATATCAATATCACTGAGTAGATTAAAATGATATTCTGAAAAAAATCATAGGATGTTCTTATTATCTTACACTTACAAGGAGTGTACTAAATGTATAATATCATTGCAAAATGAATTTCATGCCAAATAGAGTCAATTTGGGGGGAAATCAACAAGCGGAGTATATCGTCACAATATCTTATATCGTTACGATATCCTCCAGTTATTCATTTTGCCAATAAATATCAAATTTATTTTTTAATGTTATTATTATACAATTAGTACACTACACTGTTGCTCATAAATATGGAATATTAGATTTGGCAGCTCAGAATTCAAATTTTGGAGTAAGAGAATATTTATTTGGAGTCGATTCAGACATTTATTTTCTAGGCAAATTATAACCACATATTTCATCTACAAATCAACATTTTTTAGAGAAAAAATATTCACATTTAAATTTAGAAAATTACTCTTATTTAAACAGGGGTAAGCTGAGACTTTTTGCTTTTTCAAAACACCCCGATCCAAATCGTCATGTAAAACAGATCAAACAAAATAAACATCTGGTCATGAAGATTGAAGTGTCCTCTATCCAATGATAGCACTTATATGCGGGATGTCCTCTTTGTGCTGCAATCAGAGCATCAACCCTACGGGACCAGCATTGAATGAAACATCTGACCTTTCTAAGTGAAATAAGGCCCCATTCCTCAATTTGAACAGTACGTAACGTGTCTACATTTTGAGGTTGGGGTCAAAGTCACGCATCTCATTACCAAGGTCGTCCCACATTTGCTCTGCATTAGCCTGATTGGCTGACTTTTGTGCCTATGGTAGCTGGTCCACATTGCCTGCCCTGATGTAATCCAACACAATGCCACTGGCATATGCAACAGCATGATCATTCTGCAGATGAATGTTGCCCCAAAACACTCTGTTTACATATGGTACTTGATGGAGGTCCAAAAGGTCAATTTACTCTGAAATTATGTTTGGGAATCACCAAGGGGGTGCACTTTTTGTAGTATTGCTCCAAACAACCTCTGTAATACTGCTTCAAACATAAATAGGGTCACCTTCGTGGACTGCCACATCATTAAGTGTCCTTATTGTCTCTTTCCTCTGGTCTACGACAGAAACGAACACACTTATCAACTTTGTGGAGGACACATCTTATTTCATCACATGCTGTCATATGACACAAAAGATTAGGTGCAACGATTTCGTGCTTTCCTGCCCATTGAAGGCACCTTTCTTTGTTATGATCAGTCAGCTGTGGTTTCTTTAAAGGTCTCATGGCCTTGCATCCATTCTAAAGAAATCACTGGTTGTCTATAGCTCTGGAACACAGGTTTTGAGGTGACACAGCCATTCATCTCGTAGACTACTGGTTGACTTAAAGCGATTTTGATGACATTAATGCAGCAGGTGGTGGTCTTTTCTTACTTTATTCTCCCTAGGGTTACTATTGCTGTGACCTGGAGTCATATTCCAATGCCTTTGGTACCACTGCAGAATTTTAGAGACTGTTCCTGACACACCCCTAGGGTCCTGGCAATGGCAGTTTGTTTCATGCCAGAGAACGCCATCCCTATGACCTGCCATGCTCTTTTTCGCTTATTTTATGGGACATGCCTTCTAAAAACTCTTCCAACTCTAAATTAAAGTTTTATAAAATGTGCACAATGGTTACAACTAAGATTTGGACACCTCTTTCAAGTTACCAATATCACGAGGTCATGGGGTCACCTGAGTGAATACACGTTTAATCAACCATAAATATTTTAACTTTTCATACCAATCAGTTTTATGTGCAAAACTGATGAGGGAATGAGAACACATAACACATTTTCACCAAAATGTTATCATTTTGTAGAAATTCCATCAAACAGTACGTATCTATAAAATATTCCATATTTATGAGCAACAGTGTAAGTGTAGGATAATATAAGTTATTCAATGATTCGAGTGAAATACAGAAAATATTCTTCCCGAGAAGGTTGTATTTCACGATGCGCTAGCAGAGTGAAATACAGACGTTCAAGGGAAGAATATTTTCTGTATTTCACAAGAAATCATTGAATAACGTTTTTATTCCATGATTACCCATATAAAACTCGCCTAAATCAAGTCCCTTGGCTTGGGGCCAGAGAAACAGATCAACCTTCTCACCTCAGAGATATTTTACATCGATATTCCTTCAAAATCTTTTTGGCCTTGTTGTTTGCTTTTTATTGTATTTCTTTCTTTCTTTTTTCTTCAATTTCATCAGCTGGAAGTGCAGTGTAGCGAAACGTTTTTTCGACTTTCGTCTGCCATATTGGATTTTAAAGTTTTTTTTACTAGTTCATGAAAACATTGTGCATGCTTCATATTGATCTTTTTAAATTCACAGATGTGTGTTTTCTATCCTAAAATTATAAATTGTGATGATCACCATATCATTTCCTGATATTCAAATCAGATATTTCTAGCAAAATGCAAATATTAGCATGCATTGGTGTAAACTGATCACCATTGATTTTTTTCAGTAATTGTCATATCCTGGATGGAAATCTGGGGCGTTGGGATACTAGACCGTATCCCAACGCTGACATCTTTTTCACTCTGTATCCAACGGATAGTGGAATGTGCATGTAAATACAGGATATATTTAAGTCACGTGGACCAATCAGATTGCAGGGAATTTCACCATCATGGAATAAGAACATTTATCACATGCTAGGTAGAAATCTAGTGATTTGATTGGTTGCTTTCTATGACGTATTTCCCGTATCACATAAATTTCATATGATACGAGCACACATACCACACATTGTCGATGGTAACGAAATGACGTCATACAACTTCATTCTATTCTTTCCTTATTCAAAATGACGTCACATATAGGCTGTGTTTCTATTTTTTAGAAATGATTAACTCGTCATTTGAGGAACTAGAAGTTAGAATGACAAAGAAAGCTACCAATCAAATCACTAGATTTCTACAAAGCATGTGATAAAAACGTCATCACACTTTTCAGCGAATGTGATACGGGAAATATTCCACTCAGTAAAAAAGTATCACCACTCAAGCTGCGCTTTCGTGGTTATACAATTTTTACTTCCGTGGAATATTTCCCGTATCACATGCTGAAACGTGTAATAACTGATAGTATTCACCTCAATAATATGAAATATTTGTATTGTAGTTCATATTTGTATTGTTTATTTCAGCCTAACCCCCTTACATCAAGTAATGAAGACTTGAGTGGCACCTCAAATAGCCATAGTTTAGAATCTGGCCTTGAGGTGTCTCAGCAAGATGACATTTGCCCACAGAAAAAAGAATCGTAAGTGAAATCTTAAAAATTGAAATGTTGTATAATCAATGTATAAGAACTTTGACTACAAATTATTAGTATTCTTTATGCATATATGCATTCCATATTTGATGTTGAAAGATATATTTCTTGTTACTCACAACTAAATAAATGAGGAAGGTTGATAACCCCAAATTGTTTATTAAATGTAGGAGGCAATTAAGAAGCAAATTGGTAACATTTGGAGCATTGTTAAATACTAGTAATCAAAGCAAAAAGAAGAATGAACTGAAGAGAATGTTAAATTTGAGCTTGCTCATATTGAACATGTGAACATTGAACATGAGTATAATATTTGAATAAATGCATGGACATTGAACATGAGTATATCTACACATCTGCCGTGTGTTTTGAATAAACGCATGGTCATTGAACATGAGTATATCCACACCTCTGCAGTGTGTTTTGAGTAAATGCATGGACATTGGACATGAGTATATCCACACCTCTGCAGTGTGTTTTGAGTTAATGCATGGACATTGAACATGAGTATATCCACACCTCTGCAGTGTATTTTGAGTAAACGCATGGACATTGAACATGAGTTTATCCACACCTCTGCAGTGTGTTTTGAGTAAACACATGGACATTGAACATGAGTATATCCACACCTCTGCAGTGTGTTTTGAGTAAATGCATGGACATTGAACATGAGTATATCCACACCTCTGCAGTGTGTTTTGAGTAAACGCATGGCCATTGAACATGGGTATATCCACACCTCTGCAGTGTGTTTTGAGTAAACGCATGGACATTGAACATGAGTATATCCACACCTCTGTAGTGTGTTTTCAATAAATGCATGGACATTGAACATGGGTATATCCACACCTCAGCAGTGTGTTTTGAGTAAATGCATGGACATTGAACATGAGTATATCCACACCTCTGTAGTGTGTTTTGAATAAACGCATGGACATTGAACATGAGTATATCCACACCTCTGTAGTGTGTTTTGAATAAACGCATGGACATTGAACATAAGTATATCCACACCTCTGCAGTGTGTTTTGAATAAACATAGGAATATTGTACATGAGTATATGCACACCTCTGCAGTCATTTTGAAGAAAAAAAACACATGAACATATACTTTTCACAGCATTACAGATGATCCTCAAAGGGACAAATATACTTTACATCACTGCGTTACATTTATCCCTCTAAAACCTGCTTTTTACGTAATTAATGGAAATACCCCAAACGATCCTCATAGGGACTGATATTACTTTACATCACAGCATTACATTTATCCATCTAAAACCTGCTTTTTACGTAATTAATGGAAATACCCCAAACGATCTTCATAGGGACAGATATACTTTACATCACTGCGTTACATTTATCCCTCTAAAACCTGCTTTTTACGCAATTAATGGAAATACCCCAAACGATCTTCATAGGGACAGATATACTTTACATCACTGCGTTACATTTATCCCTCTAAAACCTGCTTTTTACGTAATTAATGGAAATACCCCAAACGATCCTCATAGGGACAGATATACTTTACATCACTGCGTTACATTTATCCCTCTAAAACCTGCTTTTTACGCAATTAATGGAAATACCCCAAACGATCTTTATAGGGACAGATATACTTTACATCACTGCGTTACATTTCTCTCTCGTAAACCTGCTTTTTACGCAATTAATGGAAATTCCCCAAACGATCCTCATAGGGACTGATATACGTTACACTACTGAGTTACATTTATCCCTCTAAAACCTGCTTTTTACGCAATTAATGGAAATACCCCAAACGATCCTCATAGGGACAGATATACTTTACATCACAGCATTACATTAATACCTCTCTTTTTGATAAAATGGCATATTTCCAGATATACTTTACATCACTGCGTTACATTTATCCCTCTAAAACCTGCTTTTTACGTAATTAATTGAAATACCCCAAACGATTCTCATAGGGACAGATATACTTTACATTACAGCATTACATTTATACCTCTCTTTTTGATAAAATGGCATATTTCCAGTTAATGTAAAAAGTGGCTGTGTCTTTATTCTCCCTTTTTGAAATGTTGAAAAACTATAAAGACGTTGTGCAGTACAGTTATCCTTCCTATACCAGGATATTATATTATTTGTAAAAATCACACCAAGCCAAATTGATGTTAATGCCATCTTATTTTTAGAGCTACTGATTTTATTACAACATCTGTGGAAAAACTAGTTAGTCAGCTCAGTCAATGTGCTGAAAGCATTGATGGGTTAATCCAACAGTATTCAGACAGGTTGAAATTTAAAACTTTTTTATAGTTGTTTTACAGAATTCTTACTTATTTCCATGAAATCTTAATATGATTTATAAAATGTAAAGATGGATTATTTGATGACATTGCATAAGGTAATATATCCCAGGGGGCAAGATTCATGACGATTTTGTGCTCTAATGGAAATATCCCTCCTTTGTTTCTCATGGAAATAAGGTTTTAATTCTTTATGTATGCATGATATCTAATTGTTTTAACATCGATAGATGAACTCTGATATTTTTTCCTAATCTGTCTTATTTTTGGTGAAAGGAGATTCTAATAACCTTGTGTAACAAATATGTGATTTTCCTCAAATGAACACCTTGCTTTGTAGTGTGCACCTTGGTCATCAGATGTTATCACCATATTTGAAAGTGAACCATATTTAGTGTAATTATCTCACCATATTTGGTAGTGTGCACCTTGGTCATCAGATGTTATCACCATATTTGAAAGTGAACCATATTTAGTGTAATTATCTCACCATATTTGGTAGTGTGCACCTTGGTCATCAGATGTTATCACCATATTTGAAAGTGAACCATATTTAGTGTAATTAGCTCACCATATTTGGTAGTGTGCACCTTGGTAATAAGAAATGTACACCATAGTTTGTGTAATAATTGAATTGCGCCATATTTGGTAGGTCCAACATGCAGTTTAATCTACCATATTTGGTCATCATAATGAATAACAAAGGCCTTACTTTATTTAGTTTCTATTATTACTATTTTTATAAGAACTATATTTATGTCATGACCAAGAAATGAACATTTACAAAATTTATATGAACTGGGCTCTACCTGTATGTATGATTTTTGGAAATTTTGCTCCCAATGTCTTACATTCTCTATCCCTTCTATGACCTTTGATTACACTTGGGGCATGGGGTAGAACTCCATCATGTTTTGTTTGGGGATCATTGCTTTCTAAAAGTTGAATTGCAAATTTCTTATGTTTGGAGAGGGATGTCGTTCAATGTATTACATTTTGAGACATCATTCAAAATATTGACATTATAATGTGACATAAAAATAAAAAGAGATTAGAATTTTGATTTTCTAGTATTTCTTATGTAAACTTATTTGAGTGTTTGATTTACTATTTCAGGCCATTTAGACGTATATTCAGGCCATTCATAGAGTTCTATGAAGCAATCCAAGATCCTACATATTCTGCCGTCACAGATGTATATGCGGCCATGTTCTTGTGTGACTTCATCACGTTCCTCATCATTGTGTTTGGGTACTCTGCATTTGGGCCCCCTACCACATCGACAAATGCAGATGTCACTACTGTCATCAATGAAAATAGGGTAAGTTTACATCACCTTGGTTTTTGGTGTGGTATGTCATCTGTTTATGCCAGTTAGTGCAAACATTGTTTTTATTCAAAAATGCATGCTGCTTGGATTAGCTATTAGCCCATTGGAAGGTAAAGCTTCTGATAATATATATATCTATATCAAATACATGTGAATAGAATTAGATCAACAAATTGTGTAGAGTATGTGCATTCATGTACACCAGTTTTTATTAAATAGGTTTCTAATCAACAAATATTTTAATACCAATGAATTTAAATCAAAACATTATATTTGCTTCAAATATAAGTATCCTCAATTCTGAGATGTCCAATGGAATCTTCAATAAAAACATCTTGAAGATTGCTGTTCATTTCAGCACATTCAATCTCTGATTCCTTTTGTCCATGCTTTTTTACATCTAAATTACTGCTATCACTTTTGTATTCTAATTTTACAATTTCATCTCGGTTAGTTGCACTGTCATTATTATGTGCTGTGTTGATATGGCCTTCCCTTGTATTTAAATCACCATTCTCATCTTGAAGCCTTTTCAACAAGTTTGCATGTTCATCTATTTCTTTACTCATACTTCCATTATATCCAGGATTTTCACTATCTACCTCAGCTATGATTTCATGCACTCTGCTTGACCTTTTTTTCAAAGGAGCATGGTGTTCAGTTTTAGTAACATTAGCATGACTGTCATATTTTGTTGTTGATCTTTGAGAAAAATTGGGTTTGGGCTTTTTATTTGAGAAATTAGTTTGATTTTCTTGAATTGCTGTTCTCTCCTGGCATTGATCTAGTAAGTCATCTAATGCAAGGTGAATCTGACTTTCTCCTCTGGACCATGAATGGGCAGCTTTACTTTCTTCCCCACCTTCCCTCCTTTTACCACTGTCAGGTTTTAATTTGATCATTGTGTTATGTACCACTAGGTTAAAACCACCCCCCATATTGTTAAAAACAATCATTGTTACAAGCAAAAGATGGGCAGGCTGTTCAACAAAATTCCAAATTTCAAAAAGCATATAAAACATCCACTGACCGAAATAGGCAAGCTCAACTACCAAAAGGTTAGAAGTGAGTTTTACGAAAGTAACCAATTCCCCAGTTTCCTGGTTGGTATATTTGTATGCATTTCTTGATATGTACCAGATCTTGGAAACAGTCGCCACATAGAGGAGACAGCATAAGATGTAGATTGTTAACATAATCCCAGGGATTACCTTGTTCCAACCAATGCTATTGTGCTGTACGTAACACCTGAAAAATGATTATTGTTTAATTTAAAGTATCCAGACATTATTTACTATACAAACAAAAATACTTGGCAGCTTTGCTAATAACATTTTAATCCATTTGAAATGTTAATTATTGAATGCTTAAGATTTCCATTATGGTTTTTAGCCAGTCTCTGGTTTAGTAGTGCTAATCACATAATAATTACATATATTATCAGTATACATCATGGAATAGTAGTGCTAATCACATAATCTACTATCTAGAATTAGTTGTATTAATAAATAAAGACCTCATTTTTAACAAATCGTTTTAGATAGACAAAGTGTCATTTTATCATATAACCCCCTCTCCCACTTCATGTACTCTACAACTGTTCTACAACGTACCAGTAGATATTTCTATATACAATGACATTCCACACTGACATAACAATGATTGTAAGGTATAATCTATTCATCGTAATCTGATAATGTATTACAATAATCCTGCTTTTACCTAATGGAGATGGATCTGTAGATTGTAAAGCTTTGCAAATTTTCCTCCTCTAGCTTATTACTCCATGAGATAATTGGCCCATTAAATAAATGTTCCGGTAACTTCCTGTTGTGATTTTTTTTATTTCCTTTACATACCACAAAGAGAAATGTGTAATTTTCATGTTTTTAGAAGCGTTTAACTGGAAAAATTACTAAATTATTTTCAAACTTTGCGGTTCATTCTACAAAATAAATTGAATGTGATTATTAATTCATGAATCTTTATTCCTTCAAATAAACCATAATCCAGAGATGCATATGTATGATTGCAACTGAGTGCATTGATTGAGTAATGAAATCATGCAAGAATATCTCCAAAAATGATCAAAGTGAAACAAAATATATGCTTTATTGTTTAATAGTAATTGTTGGAATGACCGAAGAGCACCCCCCCCCCCCTTTAAGAAAGAACTTAGAATGAACAAAATATGTTAATGCTGTGCATTAAAACCAGATAAAGATGGACTCCTCCAGCTGGCAGAATTGAACTCAGGACCTCTCAGTGACTAGTCTGCTGTATTATTGCTGAGCTATAAAAGCCTGGGCACAAACATCCCTTGTGTAAGGGTATTATGTTGCTTTCATAGTGGTAGCTGAGACTTGCTCCCCAGAATTGTTAAACTAAAAAATGAAGCATTTAAAAGAGGCTTTCATTTGGTGTTTCTATAAAGCCAATACGAGAAGTCAAGCTTTTGTTAATTTCTTTTTTATTTCTCTAAGAATGTGGGAGTTTAGGATTTAAGTTTGTGAATAATAGAGCCAAATGCTTTTAAACAACTTTTCACATTGGAAATGTTGACAGTAATAATGTAATAGCCGATGGCGCTTTATAATAGCTCATTCCCAGCACTTTTGTGATACATCCTGAAATCGGTTGAATTATTATGCTATACCATAGTTTCAGATTGGCTTTAATTGTGCCTTAAGCAATGTTCAAATGTTGAGAACATTACAAGAATAATACAGGAGGAAAACCTGAATGTGGAAGTACAATGACCCTAAGGGAAACAATATACAAAAATATGAAAAAAAAACCTTAAGTTACAGAACATCAACAAACACAACTGATTATAAAGAAACGACAAAAACAAAACAACAAAGTCCAATGATATAGCAAGCAATTTATATATATAACCATGCATACCGTAAGCTTTTAGAAAGTATGATTGATTCGATTGTTAAAAAGCCAAATCAGGCCCCTATGAACCATTTATATTATAAATGATTCTACGTACCATGCTCCAGAGGGTCCTAAGCCTCCTATACCAAGCAACACCCCTCCTAGAACTCCTGGCCCTACCATGGCAGTGACAAGCAGCATGATGTCATAACGCAATGGAAATTTCCACTCGAATGGAAAATTCCGCTCAGTCATGATGACTCCTAATGCTAGCAAAGCTGTTGATAGGATCATCAAGGCTTGTGCAATAAAGGTCTGGTTATACATGAAGCCCAGTAATTTACATAAAGTATCACCAGGGTGACTGTATGTTATAACAATCACATAATGATCAATCGATCAAATCAATCCTTTTATGATATCCAACACTGCGAAATAAAGCACCAAACGCTCCGGATGGCACAATGGAGAAAATGTCATTGGTGTGTATTGTCTTCTGCAGCTTACAACAAGGTGTGCAATGAGTCCAACATCAATGGAGACGCTTATGAAACATGATATAATTCCAACTATATGTATGCTATAAAACCATGGTGTTGAAACTCCTGTTAACGGCACTGAAACTGCAACATTTGTCAAATTTGTAAATTCACTCATGATTGTGATATCTGATGAAAGGACACTGACCATGTAATTTGTAGATCACAATAGATATATTATGTTTCTCATAAAATTTTGTTTCCATCTAAGATCTCCTTTCCACAACCCAGATATAACAATCTTCTCACGCAGATATAATGGTTTTCATAGTTTATTGCAACCTTGTATTAATATATCAACATTGTTAATATTTTCCACAGCTATTCATCCATGTCTAATAATGTGATGTATACACCTAGGATGTTGTATGTTATCATCAATTTTACAATCCCCACAGTACTTTGTGAAATAACATTGCTTAATATATCATTTAATCATGTCATTTAATGAAAGAATTCTTGATTACATTTTACGCATTAGCTTATTTAGCTTACATTGCTTATTCTACTCTTTATCATATTTTGCATCATAAAAACATCTCATCAAAACATGTTATTAATCCAGGCTTGTATTGTGTATAATACCATACATCCATGTGGTATATTGTCCCTGAATAAAATATAATTGTTGTCAGTTTAATGAAAGTAGACATCTGACAAGTCAGTAATAATTCAACTCATGTAAATATGCCCTTAAGTTAGATAAATCATAGCCATATATTATATTGTATTACATGTCAGAGCAAATTGGTTATGTGTGATGTTATATCTAGGCATTGATTAGAATAATGTATACTGAATATATGTGACATATAGATTCATCACCACATTTAATCCCAATATAGTACTGAAATATATTGAATTCTGCTTAGATTATTCAAACAGGCCCTTGCTTATAATGTGATCTACCAAAGGAAAGCAAATATTCTAATATATTGAAACATAGGTGAATATACCAGAACAGGAATTGAAATTATGGAATTTGAATTTACTTTTTTAAAATCAACAGAAGGAATTTAACCCTATCCCAATGTGAATATAAGAGGAAAATGTTGGCCTGGTGATGGATAAGTAAGAACGTTTTTTAGGGAAAAACTGCAAATTGCCTATACCCCAGGACCTATGCATTGAATTTTATTACTTAAGTACAATTTTTAAAAAGGATCATCACATTTCAACAGCTTGTCAAAATTTGGTGTAAAAATACTGAATAAAACTGAAGATTTTGTCATTTCATTGATATATGTAAATATAAAAGGAGCCCATCGTCAAAATATTTCAAGGAGTAGACCTGACAAAGTGAACACATTTATGATTATGATTGTACTATACCACTAATTAGGCATACTGTAAATCAATACAGTGAAACATGTTTCAATGAACACATTATGATTGTGCTATAGCACTAATTAGGCATACTGTAAATCAATACAGTAAAACATGTTTCAATGAACACATTATGATTGTGCTATAGCTCTAATAAGGCATACTGTAAATCAATACAGTAAAACATGTTTCGATGAACATATTATGATTGTACTATAGCACTAATTATTAGGCATACTGTAAATCAATACAGTAAAACATGTTTCAATGAACACATTATGATTGTGCTATAGCACTAATGAGGCATACTGTAAATCAATACAGTAAAACATGTTTCGATGAACATATTATGATTGTGCTATAGCTCTAATTAGGCATACTGTAAATCAATACAGTAAAACATGTTTCGATGAACATATTATGATTGTGCTATAGCACTAATTAGGCATACTGTAAATCAATACAGTAAAACATGTTTCGATGAACATATTATGATTGTGCTATAGCACTAATTAGGCATACTGTAAATCAATACAGTAAAACATGTTTCAATTAACACATTATGATTGTGCTATAGCACTAATGAGGCATACTGTAAATCAATACAGTAAAACATGTTTCGGTGAACATATTATGATTGTGCTATATCTCTTATTAGGCATACTGTAAATCAAAACAGTAAAACATGTTTCGATGAACATATTATGATTGTACTATAGCACTAATTAGGCATACTGTAAATCAATACAGTAAAACATGTTTCAATGAACACATTATGATTGTGCTATAGCACTAATTAGGCATACTGTAAATCAATACAGTAAAACATGTTTCAATGAACACATTATGATTGTGCTATAGCTCTAATTAGGCATACTGTAAATCAATACAGTAAAACATGTTTCGATGAACATATTATGATTGTACTATAGCACTAATTAGGCATACTGTAAATCAATACAGTAAAACATGTTTCAATGAACACATTATGATTGTGCTATAGCACTAATTAGGCATACTGTAAATCAATACAGTAAAACATGTTTCAATGAACACATTATGATTGTGCTATAGCTCTAATTAGGCATACTGTAAATCAATACAGTAAAACATGTTTCGATGAACATATTATGATTGTGCTATAGCACTGATTAGACATACTGTAAATCAATACAGTAAAATGTTTCGATGAACATATTATGGTTATACTATAGCACAATTAGCATACTGTAAATCTAATAATGCATACTGTATATCAATACAGTAAAACATGTTTCGATGAACATATTATGATTTTACTATAGCACTAATTAGACTAACTGTAAATCAATACAGTAAAACATGTTTCAATGAACACATTATGATTTTACTATAGCACTAATTAGACATACTGTAAATCAATACAGCAAAACATGTCTCGATGAACACATTATGATTGTACTATAGCACAATTAGCATACTGTAAATCTAATAATGCATACTGTATATCAATACAGTAAAACATGTTTCGATGAACATATTATGATTGTGCTATAGCTCTAATTAGGCATACTGTAAATCAATACAGTAAAACATGTTTCGATGAACATATTATGATTGTGCTATAGCACTAATGAGGCATACTGTAAATCAATACAGTAAAACATGTTTCGATGAACATATTATGATTGTGCTATAGCTCTCATTAGGCATACTGTAAATCAATACAGTAAAACATGTTTCGATGAACATATTATGATTGTGCTATAGCACTAATTAGGCATACTGTAAATCAATACAGTAAAACATGTTTCAATGAACACATTATGATTGTGCTATAGCACTAATTATTAGGCATACTGTAAATCAATACAGTAAAATGTTTCGATGAACATATTATGGTTGTACAATAGCACTAATTAGGCATACTGTAAATCAATACAGTAAAACATGTTTCGATGAACATATTATGATTGTGCTATAGCTCTAATTAGGCATACTGTAAATCAAAACAGTAAAACATGTTTCGATGAACATATTATGATTGTACTATAGCACTAATTAGGCATACTGTAAATCAATACAGTAAAACATGTTTCAATGAACACATTATGATTGTGCTATAGCACTGATTAGACATACTGTAAATCAATACAGTAAAATGTTTCGATGAACATATTATGGTTGTACTATAGCACTAATTAGGCATACTGTAAGTCAATACAGTAAAACATGTTTCGATGAACATATTATGATTGTGCTATAGCTCTAATTAGGCATACTATAAATCAATACAGTAAAACATGTTTCAATGAACACATTATGATTTTACTATAGCACTAATTAGACATACTGTAAATCAATACAGCAAAACATGTCTCGATGAACACATTATGATTGTACTATAGCACAATTACCATACTGTAAATCTAATAATGCATACTGTATATCAATACAGTAAAACATGTCTGAATGCTCTATCTTGTATGAGTACTTGTATCTACAACTATTTTTGAGGTTATGAGTAATTAGGCATACTGTAAATCAATACAGTAAAACATGTTTCAATTAACACATCGTGATATGAATCATGTTGGTGTATTTAATAAACATGTAGATACTGTACATGTACTAAAACCTGAATAATTTGAATACTACTTGGACTGGTCAAAAGTGTTCATATTGGCAAGTGTTCAACAATTGATATATCCACTTTGTGCATTGAGTCATAAACTTAAAAGTAAAAATGTAGCCAGAATAGCTGATACATTTATTTGGCCATATTTTGATTTCCATGATATTATTTATCATACTGGAAACAAACTAACACTTGACTGACTCAAGAGACTCCAGTATAGAATGGCATGTATTGAACCAGGCTGTCTTCATTGCTCAAACGTCAGTACTGAAATTGCTAATTTTTGACAAATCCCACATTATTATTAAGCAGCATTATTGTACAAATTATCTCTAGGCCAAAGCCCTTTTACATATCAGAAATGTTCCCACCAAAAAAAACAATCAGAACACATATACAACTAAGAAACCCAGTAAATTTCTATTATTACCACCTTGCCGGGCCAGTTCTAGGGGTTTTAGTGCTAGTTTAGAAGGCATTAATTTTACTATATCGACCTGAGAAATGTGTGACGTCATAGTGGTGGTCCATATGGACCGGTCTAGAATATATTCTGGACCGGCAATTTTCCCCGGGAAATAAGATATCGTTCAATGCGTAAGGTTTTCTTGCTGTTTCAGTCCTGGTCATTAACGGAGGTAATAATACTAAATACGTCATTTCTGCGAGCAATATAATAATATTAAACAAATACTGGATGATCAGGAGCTGGATATGGCAGAATACCTATTCGAGAAAAAATATTGGGCAAGGCGGCAGCCGAGCCCAATATTTTTTCGAGGATAGGTATTCTGGCCATATCCAGCTCCTGATCATCCAGTATTTGTTTTATTATGCACCTCCCAATCAAAGTTAAGTGGAGTACTTACTGGAGTACAGGCTTAAACTGTCGTTTAGTTGACATTATTTTGACATTTATTTATTTTTTCTTTCAAAACTCAGACGACTTCCGGCCAGTTTATTCGCTACGTTGGACGAAAATATTTGCCCCGGGAATTTAATTTTTATTTATTCGAGACGTTCTTGCAGAATTATATGTAACTTTTGAATGATAGGGGTAATTGTGATTGATTAAGTGCATTTTTTCTTCTATTTTCCGCCAGTTTCAGATGTAAGCTTTAAGTAGTACTCCAGTTATTAAGAAATAAAACTCTGAAGTGGGAATGTTGCAAAAACATTGAAAAAATATCCGACCCTTTTTCTCGAAAGGGTCAGATATTAAAAAAATATCCAGCAGTTTTCAGAAAAGGGCAGAGTATTGCCAAATTACAAGCAACTAAGAACCAATCAGATTTGAGTATTTTAATGAGGTGCATAATAATTCACTATATTGCCCTTAGAAATGACGTTATTGTACTACTCACAAGAATATATCAGCTATATTAAAAAAATGCCACCAATCTTTTTTACTTTGGCAGTCTAAATTGGAATAAAGAAGAAAAAAAGCAAGTGTTCACATTTTAAGGTTTCTTACATCTATAGAAGATTAAAAATAGGACGTGAAACAAATG